TTTATTTATATTTATTTAAAGAATTTCCATATATGGTATATTTAATTAAAAATCCTGCCGGTTAATCTCCTTTTCTGTGGTGCACAATTATTGCCTGCTACTTTTGCAATTAAATGAGAAATAATTGATCATGGTAAATGGTTTTTGAGTAAAAAATTGAGTCCAAAGATAATATTAAACAAATTTTGAAATTTGAATACTACTTGATTATCCTTTTTATATTTTCAAGACAAGCCATTCAAAATTAAACTAGGTTTCAAAAAAATTTGGCATATACAAATTAGAATTTGAGGGTTTGTGGGGAACGGGGTCAAAGAAAGGAATTGCTTTTGCTGCACCGGAAAGTTTAATTTGAGAGAGCTTGGCTTGTAGAAGCGCGCGGTGAAAAGCGCGTCGTTGGTTGCTGCTCGACTGATTAAACACGCTGTAGCTTAAATTGCGAAGGGAAGCTTCTCTCTCGGAGCAGGGCGGCTCTAATAGCGTACGTGGCAGGTCATCAAATAAAATACTCGCAAATCATTTCTTATATTAAACATTCCAGCACTCAATTATTATTTCTGCGCCCTTTCGCCCCAACCCGAGAGCTGCACTCGCATATTTTAACAACGCGCGCACTCTAATTGCACACGCACGCCCTGCGCGAATAATGCAGAGCGACAGACACGAATTCTCGCGCCCCTTGTCTGCCGCAGTCCGACAATTGCAAAAAAGGAACTCTCCGAATGCCAGCTCGATTTTGGGCTCGGAAATCACAAGATTTAAAATTTGTACATTATTTTATAAAATATTTTTGATCTTCTACTAATGTTTCGACCTTGCGCCTCGTCTCCGTCTGCATCATTAAAATTTCCGCCTATCCTATAAATTACGGTTTATGTATACAAGTACAAAGAAATCTGATATCAAAAGACGCTCTCACTGCAGATATTATGGAAATCGATTCCCCTTCTGCGGTTCGAGAAATGCAAAATTTAATGATGCTTCATAAATTATCAATAAATGTTTGAAATTATTTTCTCGAAATTTGGAAGCTGTGAATTTAACAAATAAATATCTGAAAATTAAATAAATTAGTCTCTAAATTGGAAAATTTATACAGATAAATTAAAAAGTTTTTGCGTTTTTGTATAATGCATGATTGAAACTTGATTAATAATTTATAAAATATTCAACGAGATTAAGAACCCTGTATTAATTTTAGCCACTTTATATTAATCTTTTCAACTCTACAATTATAAATATAACACAATAAAAATATGTAGAATTAATTATGAGTATTTTATCATGATTTTTTTTAATTTGAATTGAACACTAAAATTAAATCGGATTATTTCTAATTTTAAACTTCAATTCTGAAACCCTTCGAAGGTTGCAAGATTCTGCGCCAAGATTGAAATTTCAGCACCATTAATCAAGTCGCCTGCGCGTGTCTCTTATACATATGCTTTAATTTTATGGTGCAGGAGCAGCGAAATCGGGTGTGCAAGCAAGAGCTTTTTACCGAGGCAAAGTTTGCGCCGAGAGTGCACAAACGCAAATTCACCGTTGAATCAATTAAAGCGGTACAGAGGGCGGAGAGAGAGAGAGACAATTTGTACTACACCCAGAGAGAGAGAATGATCGGTTCAGTGAGCGAGAAATGAGCCTGAGCGCGGCAATGAGGGCGATTTCCGCTGTTGCGTCTTCGCGGTTTTCTTCTCTGAGGGCATATTTCCCATCACGGAGAGATTTGTTTTTCGCCCATTTCCTTCAGAGCCAAAGTCTCAAGTAAATTGACGAATACCAGGAGTGAACTAGGGAAGGGAAAAATGAAAATTTGATTATTAAATAAAATAAATTCTAGTTTTTTAAATATTTTATATTTTTTCTCATTTTTACGAAAAGCCGTTTTAATGAATATTAAACAGTCACAAATGCTCCAATTTACTGAATGTCAAGACGTATTTTGCTAAAAATTTCATTAATTTTTGTCTTTGTGCTGAAAATGAAATTTAAAAGTTGTTTTATTTTAACTTTTATCTAAAATATAAAATGGTGGTTCTCATTTTCAAGAATAAACTTTCACTGAAGAGTAAAATTTGTTCCGTAAAAAAATCATTTGCTCTCAACTTGTAATTAAAATTTTTTCAGTACTGCTGAACATATTGACAAATTTGTATAAAAGTTCAATGATTTGTTTTATTGTTTTCCAAAAGAAATTTAAATACAGACACTTAAAATGCTCGAATAACGAATTGAAATTCCCAATATCAAATTTTAATTGGAAATCTTAATTTCCTCCAAAACAGATAAGGATATCTGTCTCCAGAAAATTGATTATTTCCATTTAAAATATTTTAATTCAATTTCTGAGCATCGGTTTTCTCAATTTCTGATATTTCCTTTAGTATTAAAGACTGAACTATAAATCTGAAAGTAAAATTAGTTGTTCAGCCACTTATTTTGAACCGCAGAATAAAGAAATTCGCAAATATGTACTTTTGAGTGGATTAAAAAATACAGTAGTTCCGATTTTGTCTCTAAAATTTAATGCATTTTTCAAAATGAAAGGTTTTATGCGTGCGGTATCTATTTTGCAGGGTGTTTTATTGACACCAGGTCCTCTCTTTTGAGCGCAGTTTATGTGTTCGCGGCGAAGGGTATGTAAGTGGCTGAAATTTGGAGCGGTGCTGTTTGCCGAGCCGGTTTAAAAAAAGAGCGAGCGGGTGTTATTGTAAGGTAGTGTTATCCCGTGGCAAATGAAAGAGAAACACTTGACTTTGATGACGCGTGAGTGAGTTCTGCGCTGGCCCTGCTCGCTCACCCCGAACGAAATGTCTGACCCGGCGCTCAAAACGGCTGTCAAAACATTTCCACAACCGAGACCGACACGTCCGAATTATATTTTCCAGCGTTGCAGTTGGAACGAGAAAAGTGCAGCCGATGATTGATTCGAGGGTTTATTTCCACCTTTTTCGTGTCGCCAAAAGTATAGCGCAAATCCTGTCCGCCCACACTCCGAGCTCGTTTTAATTTGCTTTGTCAATTCCGTCCGCAAGTGGACAAGTTTCGCACCCCTCTTGATTAATTAAGAAAGTTTTCGTTTAAATTGGAAATAGTTCACAAAGTTAACAGAAATTTCCCTCCTTTGATCCCAATTGCCACCAGTGATACTTGAAATCTGATTAAATAATGTTGCTCTTGAAAAAGCAATTTAACGTAGATTCGGAAATTAAAAATATGCTCGGAAAATAAATTAAATTGCCTAAAAATTGTAACTTCTAATTCAAAATCATAAATCTTTTTAAATCAGATTTTGCTGTTTGTCTTGATTTTTAAGTTTTAAGTGGAAAATTAAATTTGGAAACAGGAATCAAGATTTTCAATTAAAAGTTAAAATTCATACATTTTTTAATAATATTTCCGAGCAATGGTTTTCATGCTCTGTTTCCAAATCCGCGTTGAATTTCTTAAGGAAAATTAAAAAACAAACAAGACAAACGTTACACAAAGAATAAAAATAATAAAACCCACTCAACAAAATTGTTGCTTTCGTTGAAAAAAAGGCAAGTCATCCTTGGTTGTTTCCGACTAGTTTAAAATGAAACACAACGACTTCTCCAAAGAGCGATTTCACACTGTGAAGAAGTCTTGAATAACCCTCGTTATAATTAAAAAGATGCATTTTATCAAATAACCAATTTTTGGTTATAAAAGCAATGCCTCGAGACCGTCAGGTATCGCAAGGGTTTCTTTGCACACGCCATTAGTGGAAGCAGACTTGAAGGACGAATACATTATTCACCTCAAAAACCAACAACCAAGCCAAAACCTCGACTGGATCCAACGGCATTCTATTTTGATGTCATCGTGTTATTAATTTTACTTTTGATAAGATTTTTTTGAAATAGTAAAACGAAGTTAAGAAATATTTTGAAATTAAAACGATTAAATCATCAAGTTGCTAATTTTTTTTTATCACAACTGTGATGAAATTTCCCTTTAAAATATGTAAAAAAAACCTTGCTTAATTTTTCTAAAGTGAGAAAAATGAAATATTACAATTCTTTAATTATCCGCTTATGTGTATGTGATGCTAGAAAAATTCAATCCATCCGAAGAAACAAAGTTTTGGCTGGATTTTCATCTTAACTTTGATGCAATACCAGGCCGCAGAGGAAAAGAACGAGAGGGTGTGTCGAAAAAGTCCGACCATAGCAATCACAATGACACTGAATAGATAAAAATTTGATTTAAATTCTTGTTAAATTAAAACTCTGTAAATTCTAATTTTCATTAAGTTTCTGTACATCATATAAAAGAGAAATTTTAAGGCATTTTAAATGAACTTAAAATTGAAACCAAATTCGGTCAAGTCGCCAGATCACTTTCTTCATCTTTGGAGAAAAGAAATTCAAGTTGAACAAGGAATTCTTCAAGTACATTCGAAGGAGCTGGACACAAAAAAGCCTGTCATCCTGGCTGGGAGATTGGTTTTGCTAAACCCAAGTAGGAGCGAAGGTTTCACCAAAACCTTCCGCCACCTGAGCTGTGGCAAGACCTGCACGGTGAACGCCCGAGAAAACAACTTTGGCCGCAGACATGATTACAATTCGATTTGCTAGAGTAAGCTGATCAGAAAAAATTATTCTCGACATGCACATTTTAATTAACTTTTTCCTCCCGAGCAGTTTTTCCTCAGGAATTTCTATGCTATGATAACATTTACTACTTTAAGTAATTAAAAAACTGTATTTGTTTAAACTTAATTTTTTTTTTAACTTTTTTCACTTTTAAATCGCTTTATGTTTTGCATAATGAATTACTATTTTTTTTTCTAATTTCACTGAAAAGCAGAAATTGCTTAAATCTCAATTTGGAAGATTGGAATGAATTGGCATTTCTCATGATAAAAATAAGTGTTTTTTTCCCTGGTCTAAGAGCAAGATTCATTTATATAGTGTGAACAACTAAATTAACCAATAATCAAGGAGCGTAGAAAATAGTATCAAGCAAGAATTAGGAGGATAAGATTACTTGATTTTAATCACAGTAAAAATGCATTTGTATCAATGGTAAAATGAACCTTTAGGCTGATGAATGAACTTTGCAGACTCATCGAAGACTCTAGACCCCAGCTTGTCTTCAGAAGCGCCAAATACCCAGTTCACAACCGACTGCCAGATGCCCTTGCGCTTCTTGGGGCGGCCCTGCTCTTCCGCATCGGCACGTTCGCGGCGCAGCTTGTTGAGGACCTTTCTCTGAGTCCGGCTGACAAGAGTGGCAAAGTCGGAGTGGTCTTTAAGCAAGAGGAAATCAATTTCAGTAATGTGATAAAACACAGATTGTAAAAAAAGCAATACTCACCGACGACGCAACCAAAGTACTCCAGTTTGTTGGTCAGATGCTTTTGCGCTTCTTAGGGCGGCCTTGCTCGTCCGCATCGGCTTGGTCCCGGCGGAGTTTGCCGCGCTCCTTCCGCTGCGCCCTATCCACAAGAATTGCGAAGTCGTCCTTCTCTTTTAGCAAAAGAAAATAAATTTTAGTAATGAGATAAAACACAGATTGTAAAAACAGCAATACTCACCAACACAGCCATGGTACTGCAATTTGTTGGCAATGCAGAAAATGACCAAGCTACCCAGACTAGCCTTCTTCGGGTCGGCCTTGATCTGGGTGGCATCTGCCTGGCTAAGGCTGTCATACTGGAGACTACGATCTGCTCCAACACCCTCGCCACCCGTGGCAGCAGTCTCAGCTTTCGGAGCCTGCCTAACCAATTTCCCCTCGACGAGCTGCAGACGGTCGTAAATAATTTTGGCCAGGCTTAGTTCCGCTGTGGAAAAAATTCATGTAATTAAAATTGGAATGATGAAATGTTTTTTCCCACTTACAACTGCGGAAATCGAAGTGAATTTTGTTGCTGTGTGCAACGCTCAGCTGGCATCCGAACGGTAAGTTGGACATCAGAAAAACCGGGCCAACTTGGGGCCAAGGGGCACAGCTTCACGCAGAACCAGCTCCCCTTCCTGAGGAAATTCGTGGGAAAGATTCATTTTGGTGGTGGAAGAGTAATTCAAAATTCAAAAGCAATAAGCAACCGTTTGAGTTTTGAAAAAAGACAGATCAACAATTGAAAAAGTAGGACGAAAGACGAAATTCGCAACAATGGGAAATTAAATACAGATAATTCTCAGATTGATATTTCTGTGTGTACTTTGGCACGGCAAACGCCCTGATTTAAAAAATTATCAAAAGAAATAAAGGTGGAAGTGAAGAGAAAGGGCTTTTCCTCGTTGAATCATACATAATTTTGATTATGTAAAAAATGTTTTTTTGAATAAAAAACAACAAAAAGTTCAGACGGCGAAAAAAAATTTTCAAAGCGCCTAATTGGGAGTATTTAATATTATTCAAATAGCCTGTTTACTTCAGATGATGAAGAAATAACACTCGTAAACGGTTCGAACGACTATCAAAGAAAATTTCTTAATTAAACACGGCGTAAAAACGAATATTCGAACCTGGGTCCTTATACACTTGTGGAAATCCACTTGGATTTCCTTGCTGTACGCAACGCTAAGCTGCACACCGTAGGCCATGTTGGCGTTCAGGTGTCGCGCGGGCCCATCGGTGCCGTTTCGCGCAGGACCACCTCGGCGTCGGCAGGAACATCAATTGAGAGATTCATGCGATGCATCTTGGGATTTTACCGATCTGGAAAGAAAACTATTTCAAAATTCGCGAGTAACAAACAACCGTTCGAGAAGTTTGATACGAGAGCTCAACAATTAAAAAAAAATTAGACGAAAGACGCTATTTGCAACAATGTACATAAAATTCAGATTGATAAAAATTTAATGTCTGTTTTTACTGTGGCACGGCCTGATTTGAAAAAAAAAATCTAAATAAATAAAATAAATGTGGAAGTAAAGAGATAGGGCTTTCCCACTTTGAAACATATGTATATGTACATAGTTTGCATTCAAAAATGTTTTTGAATTTTGCACAAACATAACAACAAACGCGACTCAAGACTTCAGACGGCGAAAAAAGGTTTCAAAGAATTCAAAGCGCCTCATTGGGAGTATTTAAGCACTAAGTTCGTTACTTACTTTTTAGTGGAGAAATTTAGAATGATTTATCAATTATACTCTATACATTTTAAGAGAGTAGTAATAACGGGAATTATTCAAATACGCAAATTTATGACTCTTAAAATTTGGTTCTTCCCCAGAAATAAAATGCTGTACATACGTCGTTGTGCGTTGCAAATAAAATTCCCTCTAAATTGATGGAATATCTCGCAATTTTGTCAATAATTATATGAAATAACGATCTCTAACCTTTTAACAATAAGAAGCAGTTGGAGGATGCACGAGTTTTGTGGCTAAAAAGGCTCCTATATTTCCGTAACACGACACAAACGCGCAACGCCTGCAGCATCAGCACCGGCTTTGTTCACTTCGCTCTCGCTGCGGCTGCGCCCGGCCGCAAGCTGCGGCGTGGAACGCTGATCGCGCCACCTAATGGCACCATCGTTAACTAAGTAATTTGCTCCTATTGCGCGCCAAACTTATTTTCCCTTTGCGTTATAAAAAAATCTTTATATCTTTTAAGCCTTTATACAATTAAAATTCATGAATGAGGTGCTTAAAATTTAATACATATTTTTGATAATTTTATTATAATTGACTTCCTTCAAGTTTGGACTCATTAATATTTGAACGAAAAAAAAAATAGAAACAAGGAGCAAAAAATGTGAAAAATAGCAAAAATAGTAAAGTGGTTTTTTCAGTGTATTTAGTCTGTTCGGGATTTTTAAACGGTCGCCAAAAAATATGAAAATTTTTCTTTCCAAAAGGCAAAGTTCAAACAGGAGGGAGGGTGTAAAAAAACTTTCGGATAAAGTAGCTAGAAATGATTAGAACGGTCTGTTTAGGATATTTAAATAGTGTGCCCCGGGCCCATAAAGGACCCTCGATCAGTCCAAGTTTGAATGATTTTTTTTTTAATTTCCATTATGAAAATGATTGCGAGAGGAGCAAGAACATTTCAATTTTTTTTTTTTATAAATTTCCTTCTGAATTATGGGAATTATGGCCTTCGACTTGCCCGTGTCAACTCTTGTGCCTATCAAGTTTGGCTGTCAGGGTCTTCTTCCTCTGGTTGGCCAATTCGGCCTCCATCTCGGCTTTCCTCTGGGCCATTTTGGAGAGCTGCTGGTTCCTGGCTTGGGACTTGCTCTCCTCGGCCTCCATCAACTCCTACAACTCTTGTTTTCTGTTGTTACGTTACACTCACAGTACTTCAATTCTCATGCAAGGCCTGCAGCATTTTTTGTTGTTGCAAAAAAATTTGTCATGAAAAAAAGAATCAAACCTTGCATTCAGCAGCCGCAGGTGAATCATCTACCTCACAATCTCGTTCTTCTCTTTGTCCGTCTCGGCATTTCTCTCAGCCAGGTGCTCCTTCTCCTGCTGCACCTTCTCAATTTGCTCTTGCATTTAATATTCATTTCATCTCTCTGATAAAAGCGAATTAAAACCAAGTTTCAGAATAACCCAAATTGTACAAACCAGAGTTTGCATGTTGTCTGTCAGTGGTGTTGATGGGAGGCAAATTCTCCACCTGCCGAATGGCAGACTCGAGACGTTCGGCAGTCGAATCCAAGTTCTTACGACGAGACTCAAGGGCAGACAGTCTTTCCCTCACACTCCTGTACTCGATCCTCCTCACACTGCCTGTGTAAGCTCTCTCCACAACCCCTTTCTCTTGGTTATGGCATGGGCCAGGCGCTGTTCGTACAGAGCCAAATTGGCCTCACGATTCTTCAAGAGGTACAGCACCTAATTTTGGAAGATAAAACTTTAGAATATGGTTTAAGAGGTGAACTAAAATTTCATACATCAGTTTCCTTGCCAGAGACCTTGAAGTTGGGATAAGGGTACACTAGTTCAGCATCTTTGGTCACAACCATAATGCACTTTCTAGGAACTCTCTCCTGCAATAATTAATAAAATGTAATCTTAAGAAAATAAGTAACATATATCATACGTTTGACCTCTTTGCATCACATTGATAGCATGCTTGGGTATTTTTCATACAGCATAATGTTTTCAACTCGTTTTTGATCCAGCTGGTAATTGAACAGACGAGCATCGGAAATGTCCAGAATGTCCAACACACCATTCCCTTTGGAATAAAAATTATATCTAATATACGAGTAAGTTTAAGTGCATAAATTAAAATTACCTCGGGAATCTCGGCTCTATTTCTTGAGATGTCAAAACGCTTGTCGAAAAATTTGCTAACCACGCAGGGGACAGAGTTTAATCCCAAGACTCGACGTGCCATCTTGTTCATCTCCTTCTGGTCGTTATACTTGTCACAGAAAAACACCTGCATCTTGGCTCTCAGCAGGTTCTCCACAGCCAAATTCCAGGAACAGTCTTACAGTTTCAGCTGCAGAGTATGAAAAATTATGTTTTGCACAAAAATTATGAAATTGAAAATGCACTGACATGCATTCCGATAGGCTTTTGTGCTTGAAAAGGCCTCTTTCCACAGCCTTGTCCACTTCCCTAAGCAAAATCAGGCATTCTGTTGCCGTAGGCGGGAGGAATGATCGAGACACTGTCTCTCCTCACTCTGTCAAAGTTCTGCTCAGCTTGTCCTGAAATTTATATTGTAATTTGAGTTTATTAGATTTTCGTTAATTCACTTTTTGCTCATTCAAAGCAGATTGGTGGTGCTCCTTATTGGTTGCAGCAAGTTGCAAGATCTCGAAAGCGCTGTCTGCCCTCTCATCCACACTTTGACCAAGAGAGGTCGCAACTCATTTTTAACCTCGGACAGCTGGACTTTATTCCTTTCCATCTCCTCCTGCTCCTTGGCCCTCTTCCTCAACTCCTCGTCAGCAGAACTGCATGAAATTGAAAATTCTATAAATTGCATCCAAGATTTTAAATCAAATTACAGATTGGCAATTTTGCTGATTTCTGACTGCAGAACTTTCTTTTCTTGATTCAGAGACTGCAGCTGTTTTTCCAGCGAGTTCTTGGAGCGACGCATCTCATCCGGCTTGGACTGAATCTCAACAACGTGCTGCTCTGCTGCATTTGGTCCTTCTCGTCTTTCTTTGAGGTGTACAACATTCGTGCATTAGAGCGCAGTCCACATTTTTGTAAAAGAAATCTAAATTTAATAAAAACAAAACAGCTGCACAGGAATATATTAAAGCAAACTTGATCTCCTCTCTCTTGTAGCAATCCATCTTTTTGGCCACTTTTTCCATCTTGGTCTGGTGCGTCTTTGAGTCTTCGTCTTGCGCCTCCAATTTGGCCAGCAAGAAGCGCTCCTTCTCCTCTTCCTCAACCCCCGAGGCCCAAGCCAACTCAAGCTGCAACTGGTCCATTCGGGTGGAGGGCCTGTATTATTGGGCCTTCAGCAGCTGCTTTTGCTTCGTTTTCCAATATCTTTCAGCTGCTCCTCAAGCTGTCGAAGGAAACCGATCATTTGGTCTCGTTTTTCTCCCAAAGAAGCCAGCTTTAAAAACAAAAAATCCATATATACACAACAATCTGCTGCACTTTCAAAAATTTCTTACGTTATCTCTCAAAAGAGCAAGGCGAGTCTTGATGGCTGTAATCCCAGTGCCTTGCTCGATCAGGTTGTACATGTCATGTGGCTATAGGCTTGTTGTTGTTCAGGAATGTCTTCATATAGTTCTCCTGAGTGAGCAGGGCAAAAGAGATTGGGAGGCTGATGTTCAGCGCCTGCAAGATTTCGTTGAGCTCAGCCCGCCCGCAAGTGCCCACACCACCTGTCGCCGATCCAACAGTCAACCGACCTGGATCCCTTCACTGAAAATATTGAAATAAAATTTTCAAACTAAAATTTCTAAAAATGAGACCCACCTGCAATGGTTCTATTCAGGACGATTTCGTGTCCGTACTTCTCGACCCTTGTTAGCGTTTGGGCCTCTGTTTTTTAGAGTGATTTTGATGCCCACCTGTTCTGCGCAGCCAAGCCGCGCGAATGCGGCCAACGAGCGGCCAGGGGCTGTCGGACGCCTTGGTGCCCAACCCCAACACCACCATAAGGGCGGAGGACATGATGGCCGACTTGCCACTGCCGTTCTTGCCCTCCACCAGGTTCACCTTGGGCCTTGGGGTTGAACTCAAGCACAAGGAGGTGTGGCCGTGGCACAAGATTTTTTTAGAGAAGATCAGAAAAACAAAGTTAAGCAATATTTAGAATTTAAAACGATTAACAAAATCATCGGCAAGTAGCTAAATTTAGTTATCAGAACTGTGATGAAATTTCCCTTTAACATATGTAAAAAAACCTTGTTTAATTTTTCTAAAATGAGAAAATGGAAATATTACATTTCTTTAAATTATCCGCTTCTGTGATCCTAGAATAATCCAATCCATCCGAAGAAACAAAGTATTGGCTGGATTTTCATCTTAACTTTGATGCAATACCAGGCCGCAGAGGAAAAGGACGAGAGGGTTGTGTCGAAAAAGTCTGATCATATCAATCACAAATATCACAATGACACTGAATACATAAAAATTTGATTTAAATTCTTACTAAATTAAAAATTAACGCTGTGATTTCTAATTTTCATAGAGTTTCTGGACATATATAAAGAGAAATTTTGAGGTATTTTTATTGAACTTAAAAGTGAAACCGAATTTGGTCAAGTCGCCAGATCACTTTCTTCATCTTCGGTGCTAAGTTGGAGAAAAGAAATTCGAGTTGATTCAAGTACATTCGAAGAAGCTGGACACCAAAAAGCCCATCATCCTGGCTGGGAGATTGGTTTTGCCAAACCCAGGGAGGAGCGAGGGTTTCGCCAACACCTTCCGCCACCTGAACCATGGCAAGACCTGCACGGTGAACGCCCGAGAAAACAACTTTGGCCGCAGACATGATTACAATTCGATTTGCTAGAGTAAGCTGATCAGAAAAAAATGAAACTCGACATGCACATTTTAATTAACTTTTTCCTCCTGAGCAGTTTTTCCTCAGGAATTTCTATGCTATGATAACATTTACTACTTTAAGTAATTACAAAACTGTATTTGTTTAAACTTTTTACTTTACCTTTTTTCACTTTTAAATCGCTTTATGTTTTGCATAATTAATTACTATTTTTTTTTTAATTTTACTGAAAAGCAGAAATTGCTTAAATCTCAATTTGGAAGATTGCAGGAATGAATTGGCATTTCTCATGATAAAAATAAGTGTTTTTTTCCTTTTTATATTTAAAGTCTAAAAGCAAAATTGATTCTTATAGTGTGAACAACTAAATTAACCATTCAAGGTGTGTTGAAAATAGAAGCAAGTAAGACTTAGGAAGATCAGATAACTCGGCTACAAAAACAGTAAAAATGCCATTATGCTTAATTAACCATTCAGCTTAACTATTAATTGTGCATCAAAAGTAAACAATAAGTCAACTTATTCAGAGGCGTCGAACATCCATGAGACAAAAGACTGGAAGAAGCCCTTGCGCTTCTTGGGGTGGCCCTGCTCCTGAGCTGCGTCGGCTTGCTCACGGCTTACTGTGCTCCTTCCGCTGCGCCCTATCCACAAGAATGGCGAAGTCGTCTTTCTCTTTAAGCAAACGAAAATAAATTTTAGTAATGAGATAAAACACAGATTGTAAAAACAGCAATACTCACCGACGCAACCAAAGTAATCCAGTTTGTTGGCAAGGCAGAAAATGACCAAGCTACCCAGACTAGCCTTCTTCGGGTCGGCCTTGATCTGGGTGGCATCTGCCTGGCTAAGGCTGTCATACTGGAGACTACGATCTGCTCCATGCCCTTCGCCAGTTGTCTCAGGTTGTGGCATTTCCCTCACGAGCTTGCCCTCGACGTTTTGCAGCTGCTCAAAGAGAAGTTTGGCCAGGCTCAATTTAGCTGTAGAAAAAAAATTCATGAGACTCAGTTTGAATTGATGAAATGGGGTTTTCCTTACAGCCATGCAAGTCATACTGAATTTTATTCCTGACTGCCAGGTCGACTTGACAGCCAAACGGCAAATTCATCTGGATGAAGACGGGGCCCTCTTTGGCGCCCAGAAGCGAAGCCTCACGGAGAACAGCTTTGCCATCGAATGGGAAGTTATGGGAAGGATTCAAACTTCTAAACTTTTTGGAGTCTTAAAAACGCGAGAATTAACCGTTAAATAAGTTTGAAAGGCCTCAACGATTCAAAAAATAAGACCAAAGACGATCTGCAACAATGAAAAATACACTATGTATATAAATTCTCAAATTGATAATACTACAATGTCGAAATTAACTGTGGCACGGCAAGCGCCCTGATTTAAAAAAAATATATCAAAAGAAATAAATAATTATGTGCAAGTGAAGAGGTATAGGGCTTTTCCTCGTCGAAACGTTGTTTTGATTGAAAATGTTTTTGAAAAGAAAACAACGAACGCGGTTCAGGGTTCAGGCGGCCAAAAAAGGTTTCAAAGCGCGTAATTGGGAGAATTTAAGGTTATGAAAATTGCCTATTTATTTGAGATGATGAAGAAAAATCACTCGTAGACGGATCGAGCAGCTATCAGAGAAAATTTCTTCGTTAAACATGGCGTAAAAACAAGCATTCGAATTGAAACTGGGTAGCAAGCAGCCATGATTGTTGTTTATTATTTTAGATCTGCCCCCTTCTGATATTTCAAATTTTGGCGGGAAGCCTGCATGGCGCGTAGAGTGCGGAGTGCGTATGGATTAAAGAGTAATCGTCAATACGGACTGCAGCAGAAGGCAGAATTATTTTGGTTAACCTTGTCCACTAGAAAAATATTTGATTATTTTATTATGATTAACTTCCTTCAAGTTTGGACTCATGAATATTTTAAAAATAAAAAAGAAGCAAGAAGCAAAAAATGAGAAAAATAAAAAAAGTGGTTTTTCACATAATGTATATATATTAAAAAAAATTAATCAAGGCTAATGCAGCATAAATTAGATGTGGAAAAAATTGCAAGCTAACGATTTGTGAAAACACAACCTCAACAATCCTGGTAATTTAAAAAAAAAAAAAAAAAACAGATTTCCGGGTAGTCCTTAAACAAAGGCAGTTGCTATTTTTGTTAACAAATTAAACGATTATTAACTATTAATCCTCTCAGAGGGGAAATCAACCAAAGTTAAAGAGACGATAATTTTAAGAAAATAGACCAGGCCGCCAGATTTGCGGGTAGTCCTTGAACAAAGGCAGTTGCTTTTGTTTTTTACAAATTAAACGATTATTAACATTTAATCCTTTCAGAGAGGAAATCAACCAAAGTTAAAGGGTCGATAATTTTATGAAAATAGACCAGGCCGCCAGATTTGCGGATAGTCCTTGAACAAAGGCAGTTGCTATTTTTGTTAACAAATAAAACGATTATAAATATTCGATCCTCTCTGGGAAAACTAAAAACAATCAAAACAGACGATCATTTATATATAAAAAAAAAACAATAACAGGCCAGATTTGCGGATAGTCCATCAAACAAGGAGGTCGCTATAGCTTTTTTTTCAAATATATAACGTATGTTATATAGCTTTCAATCTAGCTCTGATTAAAAATAAACCTAATTAGTTGAAATAAGCAAACAATATATTAATAAGTTTGCTAAAATACAGTGGCTGGAAAAACGAAGCTGGAGACCCAGTTACTCTCAGGCATAGGCTTTGTTGTACAGCAGAGCAGAGAGACAGTTTTAATCTCCGCTGCGGCAACCTTTGACACTTCATTGATACACTGGCTGACACAGTGTGCATCTCGCAACCACCATATATATGTATATTTTTGTTCCAACAATGGCTGAAATGTGGCTTGCCTGTAAAAGCGCCTTATTTTTTTGGTCCAAAATACAAGTTTTCTTTTCACGGAATTTAACCTGCACTGTATAAAAAGCGGCGCCGCTAAACAAGTTCAAACAATTATTGCCAGCATTTCGAAAAGTTAAGGGAGATTTTTGCACGTGTGTTCAAAAGTTCATTTAGCGCGCAAATTTATGACCGTATAATGAGTAAAAATGTTGCCGAGCGAGTCAGGGGCTGGTTGTGTGATAATATTTATGGCTTTAAATTATAAATTATCCCATAAATTTAGCGGTGGCGGCGGCACCGACGCTCGCAACTGCACAAAATTTCACATTTTCTCTCTCCATATCAGCTTTACCGCGCGGGTCGTTTGGAAGTTTGTTTGCTTTGATCGCCCCAATAGCTTCGTCTTGGTGGTCATCGTGCAGCAAATTCTTTGACCTGTAAAGGACATCAAATTCCTTTCAAAAGTTTGTCACACCGGTGGTTTGAAATTCCTGAAAATACCGTCAACTTTGAAGAGTTTTGATAGCACAACTTTAGTGTCTTTATTTATTGATCTCATAAATTTTACTACAAAAAGGAATAACAACTATGGCATAGAAAATAGTTTACAAATTCGGGATAATGAATTGGAATCTTGAAAATTGTGGGGACTTTATCAGAGAGTTCTATATATAAAATTAAAAAAAAATATAAATATGTTCAAAACTTTTAATGTTTGGATTTTCGTGAGGATAAAAATATTTCAAATATTTTCCTTTTTATTTGTACTAACCAATTTTAAGTTTCAACTGAAATCCTCCATTCTTTTCAAAAAAAAAAAAAAAAAATTAATTGATATTGTCTTAGTTTTATGAATATTTAATTATTTCTTAAAATTTGCCATTTTGACAAATTCTTACAGAAATCTTCTCCTTTTTTCTCTTATGAAAAATTTGATCTACCTTCTTTTTTCAATTCATCCCTAATTTTCTCAGTTTCACTCAAATTTGAGTTTGAACAATTCGCTGGCAGGTCTGCCGAGCATAATTCGTGTTTAAACTTAATTATTGAATGGAAATGTAAGCGATCGAGTCGGTGCGCTATTTTTTTGTGCACAGGGCGGCGACCGAGGACTCGGGATTCTGCGGTTGAAATTTAAATTAGTGGCATGTCAGCGGTGGCGGTCGTCGGTCTCATGCTCGAGCAGTGACGCGGGATCTTGCGATGACAGCGAGAGAGCGAACGGCGGCGCCGACGACACCCGCCGGCAACGCCATGCCAAACACATCTGTACACCGAAAATAAATAAATTTCCAATTCCAACCACGGCTTGCTCAAAATTTTATTCCCAAAGAACACGCGAACGTGGGAATGCAGAGCAGCAGAAAAGCGCCAAATCCCTTTTGAGATTTGGCGCATAGTCGCAGCAACTGCATCACCGGGGCTTTGGTCTGCCTGTCAATCCAAATCAGATTGTTTGAATTTGCTTAATTGAAAATTGGAATAATTCGAGTTTTCTTAAATCATCCTGTTTCTGAATTTTCATAAACAATCTATTTTGTTATTCACAATTTAGATAGTAATTTAAATATTCTAATTTGCATTTTAATTATTAACTTTATGAAATGCTAATAACTTACAATTTAAAATATTGGCAGGCTTAGGTTTTTTAATTAATCCTTTTTAAGTAAAGATCGAAAACAGGAATGAGCAACTCTTTAAATCTTTTTGTGCGGAAACTGATAGAAATTCTGGAAAAAATTAGATTAACGACGCTGGGAGGTCAATTTGCATATATGCGCTTGTTGCCGAGTGAAGTTCATAACATCAACATGGTCTATGGATTCGCTTTAATTCCCGGCTGGCTGCCGAGGAGCTAGACTAGCTCCGTTTGAAATAATGAAGCTTCGGAAACTCGCCGAGGGGCTCAACTTTAATCAAAAATAGCAGCAAAAAGCGGAGCGGCTTTAATATTCAGGTCCATTTGCCGGCGCATTAATTACATAACAAGGCCGACTCTCTATTAACAGAGCGCGCGCATCTTCTTTAATTAAGTCGTCAGAAAATGCCGAAGGAGCGACGAAAAATTCACCTGCATTAATTGAATTTGAATTCCCGCAGGGGCCGAGATATTTCATTCTTAGTGCTAAATTATGCGGCCCACCTTATTACTCACACCCTGCGCTAACTCCAGCGCAGAGTTTCTTCTTCGCGTATGTGATGAGCCCGAGCTGCAAGATTAAATTCAAACATTATCGCTCCGCACACACGCCCTGAGATGCATTATTTCATCGGGTCTCTCTTTTAATATCATCACACGAGAATGCGAAATGAGCAGAACATGCTGCCGGGACGTATGGCGAGAGATGCACTGCATGCTTGAGAGATTGTAAATTTCTTGGAATTGCGGCACCACTGCCATTTTATCAGTTTATAATTTTACATCCTTCCAATAATTTTCATATATCAAGTACTTACTTTATTTCATTAAATACAAAAATCCATATTTAATTTGATTTTATTGATTGCAAATATATATGTATAAATAACCTTGGTAAAACTTTTTAATTTATTCATTGAAAACTTGCTTTTACAATTACTTTTCTTGAAAGATGCAACATATTCTGGACTATCTATTTCGTTTCGATCGTGATATAATTGTGAAATTTTATTAATATAATACTGCACTACTACGGTTGCGTAAATAATTTTCATCGCTATTTTTTGATCAACAAAGGTGATTTGGAAAACTTATATTTGTTAACAATATTATATTTATGTAAATTTAAATGTTAGAATTAAATGTTAAAATGCTTTTAAATTCAAATAATAAGTAATTTTTTAGTTAAAATATTTATATAAATAATTTAATATAAATGCCATAATTAATTTAAAGCATAAAAAACTTAATATTTTTTATTTAATAAAGTATAAATTTAATTGCTATTAATATTTATTAATGTGTATCAAAGAGGCAATTGCTGCCCATATGGAGATCCATCGATCAAAATATTAGTAATTATATTTAATAATCATTCTCACTGAGAGGGAAAATTACGTATCTTTACTATTACGATACAAAATATAAATTTCGAGAAATTATATACCAAATTTAAACATTATTAGTTCTAACTACAACAATCAATTAAAAGGTTTTGGCTGAAGGCTTGCATTTATTTAGACTGCCCGATGCTTTCAAATGCCGCTTTTTTAAAGTTTTTTTTTTTATCTTAATCCTAGTATAACTGCATCTCTCTTTTTTAGACTTTATTTTCGTCTTTTCTTTTAGCCTGGCACTTCAGATTTTTTCAGTTCTTTTAATCGGTCCAATTACATTCAATTTTTATATAAATTTTGTGCAGATAAAATTCATTAATTCGCCTGAATATTGCTGCAATAGTTTATTTTTCAGTTGATACATATTTATTTGGTTGAGAATGGTTTTAACTGCATTTTTTAAATCGTAGGGCTTAAATTTTTATTACATTTTATTTTACAAAAACTTTAATGCTCCTTTGCTGATTATTTTTTGTATTTAATCAGGAATAAGATTTGCAATTTAAAAACTAAGGTATCTTATTTCCTGAAAAAAAACTTGCTTAAATTTTTTCCACACAAAACTCAAAAGAGACTCTCTCCTTTTAAAGATGTTGAGTTCCTGCTCGTCTTTTTATTGCTGTGAAGTTTGAGTGATTTAAAACACAGGTTGTAAAAAAAACACAAATTTACAAAATACGCAGTTCGAACGTTTCCAACAAATACCAGCCGAGACATCTAGGGGTGGCTTTTGCCACACCACTCTCACCCTCTTCGCCCTGCTGGCCTCTATGGTGAAAATCTGGAAACGCTTTTCCGGAAAATTTTATATTTTCATATATACATTATGCGCCTACTAGATGAAAAAAATTTTGTTTATTAATGTTAATTGTTGGCGCTACAGGATTATTTTTAAATCATTGCAAGAATTGAAATATTTATTTACTTTTTCGCAACAATCAAATTCACATTTCGGTAATTCTTGTCAAAATTTACTTGAAAAACTTTTCTTTCTTCAGTTTTGATCAAAATTCAATGGCCCGAGCTGCCCGGTTTGAAAATTACACGGCCCTGCCTCAGCAACTGCTCATCACGAATCTTGAGATTGTGAGCGGCGCCAGGAAATTGAAATCGCCGGAGCAGGAAAATGCTTCGGCGCCGGCGACAGAAGAGGAGAACCAACCTGAGATCGAGACAAAGAGCAGTTTGAATTGTTAAATTTAAACGACCTTTAAAATTTATTCCTTTTTTTGCAGCTGAAAAATGCGGTATAAAAAAGAGCGGAAACGAAATCCACCGTGGTCTGACTGAGATGGACGTTTATTCGCCGATCAGCTTTTCTCTGAGGAAGGAGCTGCTGTGGCGGTGCATGGACGTGACCGCGCTGCCCACCAAGGACGAGCCAAAGAAAGCCCAAACAAGGCAAGATTTCTCGGCAGCCGAAAAAGCCATCCACGGACTGATAGCGCCGCGTGGCATCGGAAAGATAAACAATCGGTAATTAAAACAACAACATAATTAATAATATGACACCTAAATTTTGAGGTTTATATTTGGAAACAATCAGATGAGGTTTTTGATATTAGTTTGACACTGAATTAGCTGTTCAAAGGAATTAATTTTAAATATAATTAATTAAAACGTTTTAATTTTCGTAATTCAAACTTAGCAGTTTGTTTTAATATGATTAAAAAAAACGGATAAAAATAATTATGAAATTCATTCTGCTTAATAAGTTTTATTTATTTATTTTTTTTTAATTGTAAAATTTCACTTCAGGCTAGATTTTGATTGAAACCTTTTCATAAAAATGAGTTCTAATTGATGCTGATTTTTGAACAAAGGTTTGATGATCGTGGGCTCGGCCTTGCAACGAGGAGGAACCCGTTTGGCTACGAGCCCAAGGACATGAGCTACCGGCGGCGCTGGTCGGCCCTGCTGGACGGGCCGCCGCACGTGGACAACGGGTGGATGGGCAACACGGCGGCGCCCTCGTACAGCACCCACCACCGCGACTCCTTCCAGCTCGAGTTGTGCCCGCGCAACAAGCCCGTCCGCTCGGCCGCCGTCGTCCGACTCGGCTACGGACACTCGGACGCCCTGGTCAGACACTTGACCTCGACCTACGTAGACCACTTCAGGCACCCCGACAGTTACACCAAATCGTAAAAATTGCTGGCAGAAAGTAAAAATTTGAAATTTCAGAAGCATAAAACAAAGGATTTGTTTATATTTTTTATCATAAACGCAAATCAATTTATAAAAACAAAAAGCTTATTGAATCCTATCCAGAAGACGAGTTCGTTGATTTGAATCATAAATATAAAACGACTTAATTGCAAACTGAGCGTGGAAATGACCAGATCAGGAAATGAATAAGGTAAACAAAGACATCTAAGTAATGATTTCTTTAAATTGAAGCGAAAATTTTTTTAAATATCAGCTAGAAAACTTAATTCAATTTGAAACTATTTCTAATAAATTTAAAAGTTCTGGGAAATAACTAACACCTATTTTCAAAAAAAGTATTATATTATTGGGAGTGGAAACATGTCTGTTGCACAAAACTCTTACAAATTTTATTATTTACTGAAAACACTCTTGATGCATTACACACATCGATGTAAATTAGGACTTTATAGTTACTTGACTTTATAAAAAAAAAATATATCCACCAGAAAATATAAATCTCTTAATCCACGCACTCTCCACATATATTTTCCCGGTACTTCAGCAAGTCATCATTTAGTAAAACATAGGGTGACTTGAACGCCTACAAATGAAAGTTAGGCAACCTTTTCCACTGGCCAGCTTTTTTACTATGGAAATGTTTGATGCATTTGAAAAAATAAACAGCAAAAGTTTATAATTAAATTTGACTTGCACATATTAATTTAAATTAAATACAAATATTCAATAAATTAATTAAGAATCCTGTCAATTTTAAAAGTATATCTAATAATTGTACTCGACAACGAAAATATTTTGTGTGTCAAAACAACTACTTCTGTAACTCAACTGGTGAGCCTTGGTGTGGAACGCCGGCGTGACCGTCTAAAAAGTGATGGCAGTCATGTGGAGGGTGTAGTTAGAAGGTGAGGCGCCACCGCCTCAGTTTCGCCCACCACGTCCGCCTCCGGAGGCTCGTTGGGGGCGCGAACCCCGGCGTTCTTTGGCACAAAGCCTCCGCTCTCTGGGAATCTCGCTCGGGGACCACAGCACCGGCGATTGATCGCCAAGCCGCAGCCAAGGCCTCATGACTTACCTTCTTAGTCTCACAAGTCCATCTTGATTCGCGAGCACGTTGTGCGCATAGGTTGGTATAAAAAAAAAATACTTACAGATACAGAGGGTAAAATTTAAGAAAATTAGCAAAATGCGCGCGTTTTATTGATTAAAATCGTTTTTCTAAAGAAAATTGAATGTCATGTTGAAAAAAAATTGTATTCAACCCAATTTTATATATTTCAAACGCCTCATAACTTTTAAGATTTCTCAGTCACATTAAATCCTCCAATTCTGTTATTTATGATGCAAATATGAAAATTTTCATTTCTAATTTTGCCTCAATCAGTTTATGAGAAAGAAAAAAGATGCGCGTTTTGGCGCATCATCAAGTTCCTTTTACACATTGTCTATAGATTAGCAATTGAAGGCGCCATCAGAAATTGTGAACTTAATTTGGCAATTGTATATCCTTGTCCGTCTCACGTGCTTATTTGCTTATGGCTTATATTTTTCACCACAACATTAGCTATCAATCAACTGTATTTTATTAATAGGGATCATATAATTATAATTTCCATTTTGGTTTGATAGACCAACAAGGTTTTTTGCAAGTATTTTCATACAGAACTTAAGAGTGCCAATAAAGACGGAAAAATTATTTGTACTCGATAATAATAACTTCTGATATTTGTATTAAACATTTTAACCTAAAATAAAAATGAAAAAAAAAAATAATAAAATGAAAGTCTACATTTAATATTAAACTAAAAATCCTCAAATAGATGAAAAGTAACGCATATTTATAAAAGAATTGCATTCTTGGTTTGATTGGAATTTTTTTACGAAACATAAATTTTTATAACAATGTTAAAATTATATGATAAATGAAATACCTCTGAGCGGCAATCAATTCTTGGATTCGCAGACAACGCATTGATCAAAAAGCTCGATTTGCTGATCGTGGTCAACGGCAAGGCTCGCTTCAGACTGCTAATTGTGTCCAAAGATTTTGACATTTCAGTCAGCCCTCGTCTCTCTTTCAAACTGGAACAAAAAGTAAAAAGCACAACACAGATGTTCTTTGGGGAGGAGGATTTTTTCAATCACAATTTTTTCAATTTATAAAAAGAAAAGCCAAATTGAAAGCCCGTTACTGACCGAGCAGTGGTCAGTGCTGGGCCTCCAATTTAAGTAGAAGAAAAAATAAAATCAAAGAGAGATAAAAAAAATTAGAAAAACAAATAGTGCTCACCTTCGAAGAATGGCCGGGTCAGGGTTATTGCTGTTCTGAGAGCCTGAAACAAATTCAAGTGAGAAGATGGAATTAGAGAAGGAAAATAACATAAGTTTCAGAGCTTATGAAAAAGTGATTTTGAATATAAAATGAAATAATAATTACCTTTATAGGGGAGCAGGAAAAAGGTTGGTCCTTGAACGTCCTCCCGGAAACTGCAAGAAAAATATTGATCATATCTGCATTTTCCTTTAAAATGTATGAAACATTACCTGATTTTTTCCTCAATGTTTGTTTAAATTTAAAATATATATAGTTTATTGAAAATACCTCATCAGAGTACAATTCTTCAATATTTAAATTTATACAAGCGAAATTTGATAAAAATTAAAATTTTAATTAATTAAAAAATTAAAATTATTTTAAAGTAATATTTTTTAACAATTTATAAATTTAAATTGTAATTATAAACAAATGGTAATAAAAATTAAAAGAAATAACGCAGGTGTTTTTAGTTAATTTAAATACTTTTAATACAAACTAATAAATGTACAAAATTATAGGGTAAATATCAAATTACAAACAATTATTTACAAAATTATTTACAAGTTTTTGAAGCAGTAAGAATAATTATTAGGCCGCGCTGATTTCTTTGGTTCATCTGGTAAATATTTTTGTTCAGAGAGAATTCTTAGCAATATAATGCTTAAAAATATGATTTTTATTGCATGGGGAGCTTGTTTTACTTAAATCTAGAAATATATACATGAAACCTAACTCGGGTGAATGCAATTTTCAGATTGCAGAAAAGCAGAGAAAAATCTCTTGTACCCTCTTTTTCATTAATTTTTAGGAGCTGAGAGAGGGTACTTGAAGTTGTTGAAGTGATCAATGTGATTTTCAGCAGGCAGTTATTTTTTTTTTCAAGCTCATATTTGATGGGAGCCGTTGATTAGCGGCTCGAGCTGCGCCTATGTGACTGATTATTCAATTTACATTCACCTAATTGTATCTGGCTGGGCAGAATAATATTATTCAGTTCTGTCTCTTTGTGAAAGCTCGAATTATTAGAACAGCCGTTACTTACGGAGCTTGAGCTTTAACAGAACATTTAGAGGAAAGATTTTTGTACGACAGAGTTGATGAAAATATTTTTACTTCATTTCTAATTGACGCCTTATATTCTAAAAAACGGTGTTAAATATTTTTTTTTTTTGAAGCTCATATTAGATGAAAGCCGTTAATTAGCGGCTTGAGCTGCGCCCGTTTTTTGTGATTTTTTTTTAGAAGCTCACATTTGACAAAAGCCGTTAATTAGCGGCTTGAGCTTTAACAGAATATTTAGAGGAAAGATTTGTGTACAATATGGAGTAGATGTAAAAAATATTTTACCTTAATTACTAATTGAAGCATCAAATTCTAAAAACAGTGCTATACTATTTTTTTTTTTTTTTTTTTTTTTTTTTTTTGAAGCTCACATTTGACGAAAGCCGTTAATTAGCGGCTTGAGCTGTGACTGTTTTTTTAAAGCACAAATTATTAAAAGAACCGTTGCTTATCGGCCCACGAGCTTGAATTCTTTCATAACACTGATTAATAGAAATTTATAAAACATTTTCCTCATCATTAGCAATGTACGTCTTAACTTAATAGCTAAATGTGTAAATGATTCATATTTTTGATATTATTTAAAAAAAAATTATAACGATTGCGAATTTCAAAAAGCAGAGCGTGTGTTGGCAAAATAGTGGCTCTTGCTTTAAATGAATAAAAAAATAGTATCCGATGCACTTGTAAAAGGAGTGCAACTTTTGCGGTGTAAAAATATCAAAAAGCAAATCGAATGTTGGCCAAAAGTGGCTCTTGATGCTTTACACGCATAAAAAAAAAATAGTTGCTGCACTTGTAAAGGGAGTGCAAATATTGCGGTGTTCATTCGGTAAAAGGGACGCAAGGTGCTCAAGACCTGTGAGCAAGTGAAGCGCACCTGTTGCTGCAAGACCTGCCAGCAGGTGAGACTTGCCAGGGAGGTTGACTTTTTGCTGGGCGCAAAAAACGACGGAGAATTCATTGTTGGCGCGATTGGAGGTAAGGGGCGCCTGAGGTAAAGGTCGGGGCGATTGCTGACTTGTCCGAGGCTTCACACGCACGCGACCACCCAACGTGTCCATCACCGGACACGCGTGGATGCGACGGCTCTTGTGAACCGCCGGGTCCCGGAACGTCGCCATGCTACTTTTTTTGCTCTAGAAACTACCGGGACGTCCCTAGCCAAAAAAAACTGAGCGTTGTGTAAGTGTTGGTTTGCGTTTGTGGGGTGTACGTGTGTTTTCAAACCTTCCATTTAACCTCGACTCTCATGAAATTCATATCACTCTGTCAAGAATCGTGGAATATCTTTGGCATTTAAATTTTGCAAGGTTTTAAAAGAAATGTGAAAGTTAATTGGCAACTTGATCTATTACATTTTAGCTTCGATCAAAGATTTTTAATTAAATTGGGGCGCAAAGGGTGGGAAGCCAAGTGAGTGTGGAGTGAATTTAATTGTTTGTCCATTAATTTGACAAATTAATTTGTAAAAAAAAAACGCGGCCGGCCTGACTGCTGCTCTCAGTCAGGCCCAACAAGAAGGTCAAAAATCGCCTTCAAATTTTTCGAAATTTAATTTAAGAACAAAAAAACTCCACACAAAACTTGATTTCCTGGGAGACACGAATTGGTTCAAATTTACCGTTTTTTTTAAAGAAAAAATGGAAGAGATCGAGGTGCAAATTAACTTTCAATCTGCTTTTAAATGATTGAAAATTCAAATGTCAATGAGAGACTGTGATTCCTAAAAAGTCATACTTAGTTTCATGAAAATTAAAATTAAACTTTCGGAATGAAAAAGGGTAAGTGTGCGTCTGACGTATCCTGTGGGATTTGTGTAGTCCTGCCTGAAAAAAGAATCGCTAACTGTGAATTTACGTTGGCGGTGCAAAAAAGAACAGCCAGACCGGACGCTGCTCGGAAACTAGAAACTAGCGAGGCTCGAGTTCGCGAACAAGGTTGGAGGGCTGAAAAAAGAAAAGGCAAAAACCTAAAAAAAAAATCGAGCCTCGGAGCTACTTGTAGCCTCGCGGAGCTACGAAAGACGACGCTCGTCTGGACACCTTTGCCGGTGCATGTTTTACGACCCGTCCGAACTTCTGTTCGGACGTGACTCGCCCTCAATCTTCCCGGCCGATCCCTCAGGCGCCCCTCGCCTCCAATCGCGCCACCAACAAATTGTCTGTCGGTTTTCGCGTCCAACAGGGCATCTCTCACTCCGCCCTTACAAAAAGAAAACCTACCTGGCAAGTCTCACCTGCTGGCAGGTCTTGCAGCAACAAGTGCGCTCGACCTGCTGGCAAAGTGACTCTGCAGGCCAAGAGCAATTTCCAGTTTCTATCACAATCAGACCTAACAAGTCTCATCAGGTAATATTAGTTTCAATTCAATTCTGACTAGAGGTCATTTTCCATCGAGACATCTCCCATATATCTCGAAAAATAAATTTTCTCTAAATGGAATGTTGAAAATTCTATCAAATAAATAAATATTGCTTGACCTCGCAATTCACACTGATCTTTCTTTGAAAAACTTAAGCAGTGTGAAATGCCAATGCCTGATATGAGACTTCTCTTAAAAACTAATAGTGAACCTTTTATCAGCGCGGCCGCTTCCTTAACCAATATGTACAAAAATATAGCACAAATATGTACGAGGGGAATTAAAGGCTGCCGAGTGGGGTTAACATTTTACTCATGGGCTTTTTCTGTACAGATATATTACGGGCATTCTTAACTTTTTCTTTTTCCATTTTTACTGCTTCAGCAGAATAACCAATAAGAATGATGCCCTTGCCTAATGGCCACATGAGTAGCAGTTTCAATTTAACCTAAAATTCAGGGCAAAACTTAAATCTAAATTTCTGTGATATCTACATAGTACATATATGAAGAATATGTATAATTAATGTATTCAAAATTTAAAAAAAATAAACAGTGATAAACTCAGCTCCATCTGTACCTATTCCCTACATAAATATTGCATTTCTTAAAATATTTTTTTTTTAATTTTCTATTTTTTTTAGTAATCTTTATAAAAATTTTCTAATTTTAATTTTTTTTTACTCAACAAGTTTTCAAGTTTTTTTTAATATCTTTTTGATTTTTCTATTTTTCACTTAAACTAAATCATTATTTTTTAAATTTTCCTTCTCAATATAAGAATAATTACTCGGCAGCCAAAAATATCTAAAACTAATCGGGTTTGTGTACTTATCGAATTGCTGACATCGCAGATTCTCGCCATCCTCTCTGTATTGCTGTTGGTGCCAAAATGCGCTTGATCTGTAATCCAAAACAAAGGAATTTGTCAATTTGAACACAATCAAACACTTCAAAAAGAGGACATTTGTTCAAAATTAGTATTTTCCAATCCAAAAATGGATTCAAATAAGCTTGGACTTTATAAATCACAATAATACAAATACATCTTCCTTACATTAAAACAGCTTTTCGTTACTTTTTAAAAAGACTAGAGTTGAGAAGGCAAAATCAACAGTTAAATTTGACTATGAAGGAGATCATTTTCTCACTTTATTTTGGAGTAAAAATTACGAACAAACTCCATTTAAGATTCTTATCGAGAGCTTTGATGTAAAAAAGTAAAAACACTCACCAGCTGTGCATTCTGATTCCACAAAAGACATAAAAGTCATTGAGAGGGTTGAGAAATTTGTAGGTCTGACTGTGCTTGTTTCTCTCTTCTGTAACAAAGAAAAATAAAAAGGTCAGAATATTTGCAGAATATAACATGACGGTTTGTGAAAAAAGCAAGAGGGTGAGCAAATTAAAAAAAGTTCCTTACAATTAGAATCTTTGAGAGGTAAACATCCCTGTCTGCTGGTGTGTGGACAGGAGTGGTGCACAGTCTTGCAATTTGATGTAATCGATGTCCAGTTTTGAAGTATAGAGAACAGCTTGTGCTCTAAACTGCAACAAAACAGAAATGTGGAATTAGAAAAAATTTAGAATAAATTAAATTAATTTAGAATAAACAATAAGAGTGATTTGATTTAAAATATTTTAATTTAAAATATAAAAAAAGAGGTGAAAATAAATCTTTCAAAGTCTAAACTCACCAGTGCATCTAGGAGTAATTTGCCTCGTCTTAATTACTTTCTAAATAGTTCATCTGCGAACACAAAAGCAAAAAATATTAAAATATAGCTGCTTTTTGACTTGCAAGTGCTTCACAAACCTTGTTAGGGGCGAATGGCAGCCAAGTCAATGGCGATGGTAGAGGGCCATGTTGGCCCCCTGCCCGAGGCAGAAGCCGATGGCCTGCGTGGCCTCATCGAACGCGTGGCGCTTGTTCGAGAGCCGATCTCCGGGAAGGATGTCATCCGGATCTGGCTGCCAATTCTTCCTCTGAGAATAAATTTTAGAATTTGATCAAAAACTGATTCAAGATAGTTCCTACCTTTCTACGCTCCATGGGCTGCCCATTGGCTTGAAGGGCGCGAGGAGCCTGTGGGTAATAATAAAACAAAATTAGTCAATAATAATTAGGAGGGACAAATCCAAGAGTTTATTCACCTGAGAAACTGGTCTCACTTTGGTCTTCCTTCCACGCTTGTTCTTGGGACCTTCTTTGATCACCTTCGGGTCAGCAGTGGGGTCAGAAGGGCGCTTCCTGGCCCTCTTTGGGGGCTCGTAGAGGCTGAGGAGCTCGATCTAAAACAGAACCAAAATGTATTCAGATTTGAAATCTCAAGGAATTGACAAAGGATGTTTTTACCTTGTTGACCTTGGCCCTGTTCCTGGTCACAACACGAAAGACCTCCGTGGGAGCATCGTCTTCCGGCTCCTCAGGTTCGGCAGACCTCTTTCTTGGTTTCGGAGGTGCTGCTGCTGGAGGTGCTGCAACCTGTGCAATACATTAGTTTTATTAATGCTCTGAAAATTCCAGCAGAACACTTGCCTTACTTGCCTTAGCCGGAGTTTTTTCCTGGTCGATGGCAGCCTGGTCTTCCTCCTCAGGAGCATCACCCTGAGAAGCCTCTTCTCCAGAGTCCAAGCCGTCCACTTTCTCATCGGTCTCCAGAGCCGAGGCATTGTCTAGTTCAGGCTGTTCCTCAGCATGATCAGAGTGAGGTCTCTCTTTTTCTTCATCCTCCTCTTCGTCTTCAGTCTCAGGAACCACCAGTCGAGACTCTGCATCCTGGCTGTCCTCGACGGTGTCTTCGTCGGGGACTGGAGAGTCCAATGCTAGGATGACAGGTCCCTCTTCTTCGTCATCCTCCTCTGCTTGAGGGGGAGTGCTGGGCTCCAGCAGAGGGGTGAGGGCGTCGGAGAAGACGTCGGCCGAGGGCAAATCATCGGACGCCAGGGCAGTGCCTGTGGGGACTGGCAGCTGATCAACCGTTTCAGGTCCACTTTCTCCTTCGGCAGCCTCAAATGAGTCATCTGAAGTCTGGTTGTCCTCAGCTTCTGATTCCTGATGATGGTCAGAAGCATCTGAATCAGAGTGGGTTGTCTCGTCTCTGGCATCAAGCCACTCTTCCTCTTCGTCATCATCCTCTGCAGGAGATTTCTGTTCGGCCTCTTCGGGGTTGTTCTCAGCAGCCTCTTGAACGCGCTCTTCTTGAGGGGGAGAGCTGGGCTGCAGCAGTGGGGAGAGGGTGTCGGACACGAGGTCGCAATCAGCATCGGCCAAGGGAAAATCCTCGGACGCCAGGGCGGTGCCTGTGGGGACTGCGATGACCTCAAGTTGTGGTGCGGGAGGGTCGAAAACTCCAAATAAATGTTCGTTGGCCTGGGTGATGTCCAGAGGCACAACCTGCAAAAGGTGGCAAACAAACCTTAGAAAACGCAAAGCAATTAAGGGCTGAGATTTGCAGAACTTACAAGTGAGCGAGGGAATTCCTGCTGCTGGTCGTTGACAAGGCTCACATGAGTGAAAAACTGCAAATTTTCAGCAAAATCAGAATTATCTCTTTTTGTTGTTATTTTATTTAACTGATTACCATGCCATCCAAAAACTTGCAGATTTCTTTCTCAGTTTGGAAATCCTGTGGCATATCTTCTTTGATTTTGGGCAAATCTATGGCCTGTTGGCAGAGATTTCAATTATTGAATTATACATTTTTGCAAAATAAACCAGGAGATAGAAAATGGAAAGTTGATTCACCAAAAGTTTAACATTACAAATGAGATTTACTGATTGATTCATTATAAATAACTAATTAATAACAACATATAATAAGAAAAGCATTGTTACTAGATAATTTTTGCAAGTAGAACCCACAATTCATTGAGGGAAGCGGTAGATTTCCCCAAATTCAAACTTAACAAAATTCATTAATGGTAATACTGCTTTGTAATCAAATTGATAATCAAAAATTCCAGCCTATATATGTAATTTAACTAATTCGCATATATCCTTGAAGCTTTAAAACTTTGAAACTAAAAGAAAAAATTATCCTTACACATTGGCCGAGCTTGTCTTGGATGAGCTTTTGCACGCTGCAAAGGAACTCCGCAGGGCTCTGGTGCCAGTAATGAGCGAACTCAAGTAGGTACCTGTCAGCCACCTCCTGGCTGGCAGGGTCAAGACCGGTGGTCTTGGTGAGGCCCAGCCTTTGGCAAGTTTTGATGATCGCTGGCAAAATGCTGAGCAAATTGGCGGCGGCAATGGGCGGGCTGAAGCTTTCCTTGGCCCAGCACAGGGCCAACTCGGCCTTGGCCAGGGCGCTCGGGCTCAGGTAGATGGCCCACTCGAGGGCCATCAGACGGACGCGCGGAGTGGGCAACACCAGCAGGCGCCTGAAGAGGGCCCTCTGCAGTGCGGGCTGCAAATTCAACCCGAAGAAGTTCTGGAGAGGAAATTTGGAAGATCAGCAAGGAACGACAATTTCAAGGATTGAAACTTACATTGGCCACCAGGTGAGGGATGAGGGCGAAGAGCCGGTAGGGCAGCAGGGTGGAGTTCACAGGCCAGCTAGGACAGGCGTCCTTCTCAGGGTCCACCACCAGGGCCAGCAACACAGGCAAGGGCAGGCTGCCCATTTGACTGACGGGGCGATTGATGATGGCACATGTGCCCACCATTGCCAACAGCTGCTTGGCCAGGCCGTGCAGGGCAGTGTCGACCTGCAGCTTCTCCAATTTGCCATCCAGCTCCACCAAAATCTTCTCTGCGTACAAGCCGTGCAGAGATCGCTGCATGTTCTGCCGAACAAAGTGGGTTTTTTACTCAACTTGATCTCGCTACCAAAAATACACAATCGAGGATGATTAAATTTAGAGCTTTTCTCGTCATTAAAAAAAAGCTAAATAATTCTTATATGACGTAAAGCACATAAAATTTTTGCAAATGATCTTAACAACAGGCTTTGAAGAACCAAAAAGACATACAAATTAAAATTTTTTAAATTCCAAAAGTTGCTTGATTTAATATAAGATAATAATTACCTGAAGCATTGCTTCCTGGGCAGATTCGGACGCTTGCCGGTACGCAGCAAACATGACCATGAGCCACAAGAGGTGCCTCTCGTCAGTCTGGACGATGAAGGGCAAGGATGCGGCAAGGTTGTCCCTGACCTTTTTCAGGAAGCTCAAGTTGGAAACATAGATGGCAACGTTGAGGGTCTTCAAGGTGGCTACGGCGACTTCCAAGCTGCACTTGGGCACTGCATAAATAAATAATCATGAACAATGATGAGTTGAATTAAATATTATTTAAGACTCACAGGAATTGCGCAGTTTGAAAATTTGGGAGCTTTCTTCGGAAAGGAGCGCCCTGTTGATCAGCAAGTTGAAATGCTGAACATTGGGGTCAAGGGCCAGAAGCAGGCTGGACTGGAGGTCGTCTTCGAGCTGAAGGTGTTTGCTTCCCTCCAGCAAAATTCGCCTCACTTGCCTCGGCTCAAAATCCTTGTCTGTGGTGGGCACGAGGAAGAGCAGAGCGGCGCGCAGCATCCTGGTTGGAAACACAATCAATGACGAAACTCCATTGATAATAATCAAGCAAAACTTACGAGAACCAGGCCAACTTGCTGCCTTCAGCGATGGGTTCGTTGGAGAGAATGAGAGTCGAAAACTCAACGACGAAGGTCTCCTTGATGAAGGTTTCTCCGTGATCGGAGTGATTTTGCCCTTCAAGTTGCTGCTCAACTCTTTGGAAAAGCCTGTGTGCAAATTAGCAAATAATCATGAGCAAAATACAAAACGTTAAAAAGGAAATAAGGAAAAATAACACAGAAAAAAATCATTTTAGAAGCAACTTACAATTAGAAGAGTTTAAATAGAAAATGTTGTGGCTTATTTTTCAAGCATGAAAATCATGTTACTTTTGTAGAAGTTTTTAGTCCAACAAAAATAAAAATTGGGGTACAAATTTTCAAGCCTTCAATTGGTGGCTTTTCAAAATGAATTGCAATATTTTTAGGATTTTCAATTTTTTAGATTACAAATAGATTATCAAAATCATGAGTATATAGAGATTTTTTCCTATAATCAAAATTTATGTTTTTTCCGCTTATTAGGGCAGTAAAAATTGCTACTTTAACTCTCTCTAGCGTCTTTTAGAATTTACAATTGTAGTGAAACTTGATTCAAGTAAAATTTTTGCAAAATTGCAGTGAAAATAAACAATAAAAAAGCCCAGTTTCCCTTTAGAACATTTCTTGAGACTCCGAATTGAACATTCAAATTACTCAACAGAACGAATATTTCAAGTGAGAATTGAATTAAAAGAAGGAAAAAAAATACTCACTTTTCCATGTCAGGGTAGGTCCTCTGTGCAGCGTCGGCACAGACAGGAGGCAGCAAAGAGCCGTTGGCGCTGCTGAGGAAAACTCTGTCCACGAAGTGCAGGCACATGGCTTCTTCTTCAGGTGCGGAGTCATAGTCTTGGTTGCTAGGTTTTGGGCTGGACTGCTGGTCAGCATCCGACGACTCAGGTGCCTCTTCTTGAGGTGGTGAGTCTGCAGTCTCAGCAGCGTCCTTCTGCTTGTCTTTGGCCTTCTGAGGGCCAAAGCGTGGTAGCTCAGGTATGACAATTCCGAGGTCCCGTGGAGTCCATGGCACTGCCTTATTTGGGAACCTAAAACGCATTCTATGAGCGCGTCTGAAGGCATCCGGCGTGGCCAGAGAGTTCTGGCCTTGATGGTCAGAAGCCTCGCCAAGAGCAGGATATGCGTGCAAGGTAGATGTTGGAGGAGAGGCGAAGAGGGGGGACAAGTTGTCGGACACAAGGTCCCAGTTGTCCTCGGCCATGTCCTCTGAAGCCAAATCGGTGTCAGCGGGAACCGCCTTCACTGAAATTTGTTGGGGCAGCCAATGTTCCAATTCAAAAAGATGTGCGTCTTCTTCCGACTCGGGGTCCAGGGGCACAAGCTGCCAAAATGAGAACAAATCTTTCAATATAAATTTTGAGCCGAGATCTCCGCACTTACGATCGAACGGGGGAATTCAAGCAGCTGACCATCGACAGTCTTGCTTACAATGCAGAAAAACTGAAAATTAATAAGTTATTTTATCAGAATTATCTTCTTTTTCAAATCAGGTTGAAATAAAATTACCTTCTCGTTCAAGAACTCGCTGATCTCTTCTTCGGTTCCGAATTCACCTGGCATTTCTGTCGGATTGGGCTCAATTTCCTATTGAGGAAATAAAGTAAAAAATAATAATAATTACTCAATGTCATTTGAGTAAAAACAAGAAGTATGCAGGAAATTAAAATACTTCCAAATAAACTAGCATAATTGAATGCGATTGCAATGTGAATTTAACAATGTGGACAGATTAATAATTTAATAATAAAAAAGCAATCAGAGGCCTTTATTGCAACTGCGAAAAGAACACTGCAGAAAAAGTCTCAGTTAAATCATAGTTCAAATGTGAATATAACTCCTTTATAATTTTACAAAAAAGGTTTTCATTTATTTTTTTAGCTGTAAAACTTAGAAATTAAATTTCTGATCTTTGATTGAAAGAAAATTTTTTTCTCTTGTCTAAATTGACTTTTCGCAACAACAAAACTGAGATATGTAATTTAAATTCACTGCAGTTGCTCTATAATTTGGTTTGTAGAGTGTAAAAAACCTACATCATCTTGTAAGAGGTAGATAAGCATATCCACATCCTTTACGAAATTGTTGAAGTCCAATTCCCAAGACACCCAAAACGTTTTCCTCTTCATGAATGGTTGCAGAAATTGCTCGGAAGCAATCTGGTCCAGAGGGTTGGTCTTGGAGAGACCCAGCTGGATGCAGGTCTTGACGACAATGGGGAGCCATTTCAACACATTGACAGAAACCGGAGATGGCAACTGTGCTGCCCAGATCAGGATGAATTCCACCTTGGCAAGGGCGCTGGGCCAGAGGTAGATGATCCACTCATAGATCATGATGGTGGAGGTGACATGCATATCTGCATCCATGCTCAGTTGATTGAAGAGGGCGATCAGGAGGTCGGCGCGGACAAACTCCAGGCCGAGCAAGTTCTAAAAGAGATGGAGCAAGAAATTAACAAAATATTTTTATATTTCATAAAAATCCGGCCTGATTCTGACTGTATTTTTAAAGCTTTTAAATTTCTAATAAAAGGAGAAGAGTCAAAATTTAGCTGACAATTACCCTGGCCTGCAGCTCGGGGATGAGTGCCGTGAGTCGGGGGATGGTCATGGCGATGAACACGTATAGCGTGCCAGGATGCTCGAAAGACCTGACGGAATTCGACAAGGTGAGCAGTTCACCCAAGGGCAGGCTGGGAACTTGGCGAATGGGGCATCGGCTGATGGAGACAAAAATGAGCATCTGGATGAGAGGCTCGAAGGCGTCGCGGTGCCAAGGGCGCACAACCAAGTTTTCCTGCACCTTCAAGACAATCTTCAGTGCGTCCTCGCTGGGCACGTTCACAGCCATGATCTGAGAAGAATTTGTGAAATCATTCTAAATAAATGCAGAAAGAACAAGAAATTACCGAGAGCATTTCTTCCTGGACGCTTCGGGGCATTTTTCGGAAATAGGAGAAAATGACGTTAAACCAGCTGAGGTGGCGTTTCTCCGGCTGACAAATGAAGGACAACACGATGGCAAAATTATCCCGGACCCTCTTGAGGAACTTCAGCCCGGACACTTTGAGCGCCAAATTGATGATTTTGGTTATGGCCGACGCCACTTCCAAAGAGCATTTTGGCACTGAAAAACAATATTTTAAAATTAACATTTAAATTGTGTTCTTAAAGTATTTTGATTAAATTTTTTAATAAAGTGATATTCCTTTAATTTAAAAAAATAGAAATAATACACTTACAATTCGCTGAGTGTAGGGCAACGTTTCCATGACTGTCCTGGTTGAGGGCTTTGAACAACGCAGTGTTGAACTCGATCAAATTTGGGTTGACTGCCAGGGCCAAGCTGGCCTCCATCTCTGCCCCCAGCTTGAAGTCCTTGACCGTTCCGCCTTTTCCAAAAACGCTGTACAGCTCTTTGAATTGTGGCGAGAGGAGAGGGTAGATTTGAAAAAGGAGAGCAGCTCTCATCATGCTGGGCATGTCGACGAGAATATAAGATTGCGACAAATAGGGTAATACGAAGGAGGCACTTACGCGAACCAGGTCAACTTTTCATAATCCGGGTAGTAGTGCATTGTGCTCCGCTTGACAGCGATTTCAAAGTTGTAGAAGGTGGTGTTCATGAACGCGATGCCAGCGTTTGCACCCTCAAATTCCACACTCAGCAACCTGTGCACGTTAAATTGCAAATTAACATATGCAGCGATTACAAAATATAACTGCAAAAAGGCAGGGTATCCTCGCTCAAAAAAATTCCCCATTTTTTTAAATGAAAGTCTAAATTTCAATTTGCATTTTGACAAAATCACGAATAACAAATACTTTGAAGAAAATTATCACTCGAATAAAACATGGTTTGATAAACAAAATTTCTTCCTGGGTGAAATAATAAAATGTTATAAAATATCAAATTCAAACTTTTGTCCTGCAGAGATAAAAATAAAATCTGATTAATTGGTCCTCTGCGAAGGAAAAATCGATCATTTGACTAATTTTAGACAATATTCCATCCGCCTGAAATAATTTCTGCCCCTTTTTACCCTTCTTAATATCGAATACATTAATTGAATTTAAAAAATTTACTTGTCAAGAAGAAAGCCGTGCGTCCCTTTGGGTTTGAACTTGGGAAGCAGACTCAAGCCTGCGGTGCCGTTGCGGACGAACAGCTCGTCCTTGAAGTGGATGCAGTCTACGGTAGGATTTTGCCTGACCGACGCAGCTGTAACAAAAAGTAACACCGAAATTTAATCATCTTTCTTGGGCCTCAAGTTTTTGGGAAAAGAAAAACAATTCTCATAATGCGATATTTTAGCAATTCGGTGGTAAATAAACATTACCGTTATTATTTGAAGACCAAGAAAACTGCTGTGGGATGATTAAAAAATGAAAACAAAACCCGTAGCAGTTGCATGCTTAGGACATCAGTTCATTTTTTTTCAATACAAAAGCAATTGACGAAATGGAAATCTCCAAAACAACTGCTTTCGAAATACAAAATTTGCAACGTGAAATGTTGATTTTGAACCTCATTTATTCTTACATGGTCAAATTAAGTCTTTACAACAATGTGCAACAATGGTTGTTATAATTTCCAATCCTAGTGTTGTAAAGACTGGATTTTGTCAACAATAGGAGTCCTTAATTTATTTAATTGTTGGCGCTTATTTAATATTTGTGTTTCTTTTTTTTTAATATTTGTGGAATTAATTTTTTTTTGTACACAAGAGAATTTCTTAAATAATCCATGGTTTATTTAAAGGTGCTCTCAACATTTGGAAAATTATGTTGTGTACGTTAAAAGATGGCAATTCTGGAAAGCAAAAAAAGAGAAGTCTGCTCTGGCGAAAATTGGAAATTGCAGGTTTTGCGACAGACAGAATTCTTCAACAACGCCACAGTAGCATGTAACAAAAGGAAATTCTCGTGTAAATCCATTTTCGAGCAGCTGTTTTGTTGTGCCGCGGGTGGGAAGGAGAAAGATTCCTCCAAGATTGGAAAAAGCAAATCGAGGCGAATTTGCTTGAGACGCGCAGGCAGCAAAAGAGAAAAGCAGAAGAGCTAGGGGAGAGACTTGTTTTGATGCTTTCGCTGGAAATTGTTGTGGCCAAAATTTTCTCGCTCCTCATTTACTTTGCCACCCATGGAGAGCAAAAAATATGTTGCCAGGTCGAAAGAAAACAAGCTTTGATAAAATGCGCCGCATCTGAGAAGGGAAAAAGCCTCAGGCAGGAATTCCAACTTCCTGTCCATTTTTGGCCCTGAGGAAGCCTGAAGAGCTCCAATTGTACAGTCTCAGGCGGAGTAAGAGGGAAAAGCAAATTGACAGCAAATTGAGGTTAAAGGAACAATCTGGAAACCATTGAATAAAATTCTGCGGAATCATAAAATCGAACCGTAAATCGTTGAGCTGCACCCCGGCCGTGCAAAGAGATGGATATGAATTAATTTCACGATGATATTTGAATTAAAAATCAGATTTTCCTCGCTCGATGGAATTTGCGAGTTGTTTATTGTATAAGAAAAACAATATCCTGGCTGCAGCCATAATTCACAAGCTGTGAAATCATTTTGGCAAGAATTAGTACAAAAATCAATCTTTTAAAAAAATTTCTTTCAAATTAACAATTTTTCGAGGAAGTTAAAATTTTACTCTAAATTTTGAGCAGTCCTTTTTCGAGAGAAGACTTACTTATTTTTCGTTTGGTTTTTCAGGTAAAAGATAATTATTTTTGTGGAAAATGCGTCGCCACTGCAGTCTGCAGATATTTCTTTCTATTTTGTGCGCGACTTACTTTGGGGTCGCGTTTATTGCTCTTTTGTGCGTCACTTTTGCAGTGGGACGGCGGCACTCTTTTTATTTCTCATGTTGAGCAAGGGGCTGCTGCTGCTGTGTGATTTTCTTCCTCTCCCTCTTTACGGCGCCGGCCAGAAATTGCTTTTTCCTTTGAAAAGAGTGCCGCCGCGCCTATGCAAAAGTGATGCACAAAAGATGAGCAATAAACGCGACCCCAAACTAAGCTTTGGCCGCGCAAAAAATAAAGAAATATGCAGACAGCACTGGCGACCAATGCATTTGCCACAAAAATGATCTTTTACCTGAAAAACCAAACTTCTTTCGACCACCAACCGAGAAAGGTCTGCTCAAAAAACGTTTCAATGGTTTCAATATTCTTACCAATATTATTTTATTATAGAAATCCATGCGATAAAAAAATTTTAACTGAAATATCAAAATGATTCACATCTCATAATTTATATGGCTGCAGCTTGTAGCGGAAACATGTAGAGCAGGATAATATTTTCTTAAAAAATTAAAATAAAATAAAAAACAGAAAACCCATAGAGGAAAAGGCGATTTTTTTAAAATCACCACAATTTAACCCTTCGACGGGAAATTAAAAAAAAAAATATCTCGTAATAAAAAAAAAAAATTGAGCCAGCCTCATCCCCTTGGAAGAAAGAATCTGGGAGATGCGGAAACCGTGAGAGTGCATTTTGAATTTGTTGCGATTTTTGGCGCTGCTCAGGGCTAAATTATTATATGGCTTTGAAAAATCTCAGCTGAACTTATAAAAAGAAAGCAACAGTTTATACTTTACACTAAAAATTTGCAAAGTGGTCGTCCCGACTTGGTACAGAAGAATATCAGCTTATAATATTAAAACAATTTTTCATGGAACAAATTAATTTACTGCTCGTTTGGTCACATTTCATGTCTCTCGAGTTTGTCTGATCATTGGACCAGCTAGAAAAATTGCCCTCAAAGTAAAAGAAAAGCCCTCTTGGTTACGGGGAGAGGGAGAATTTCATCAGCCCCTCTTTTGCTTGGCCAAACTCAACCGAAAACAATAGTATTACTCAAAGAGCACATCAGCCGAGCCACCATTTCGACTGAAGGCGTGGATGCCGCGCTTTTGAGAGAGGAATCATGCGAGAATCCTTCAGGCGAGCGGTGCGTTAGCTTATGAAAGAATTGCAGTTTTATGTCATTTTTATTAATTTTTTCTGAAAAAATTTGCTGATTATTTGGACCGCTTTGGCTTTTTAAAAGAAAAAAGCTTGCAACTTTTTTTTCTTGTTCGCTCCCATAAAAAATGCAATTAAAAGGTCTCCGATTTCAATTAAAATCGAAGCAAAATTTTGTCTTATCTTGATCATACGCCCTTTAAAGGCTCTTGCCAGATATAAAACTCATTGTTTAATAAAATTTGATGGAAAAAAGTTAAAAAATGCTTTGTATTTATTGAAATTTATGTATATATTTTTTTAATTGCAGCACACAAAAACCAAGCCGAATTGTAAATTTTGAATGATATCTGTTTTTGCGCGGGGGATGAAAAATCAGAAGAAAAAAAACACGATAAATCTAAAAAATTTACAAATCACAAAACCTCCATAAAAAAAAACAGTTTACTTCCTTGTAAAATCGAAAACTTTTCACAAATAGAACCAAGGTCATTTTTGAGCAGAAAAATCATGGTTGATTTTCCTCTCCCTACCTCCCCTTAAATTGAAAAACCTTATGCAGGCGATTTGTTAATTGGAAGCAGTCGCTGGCAAAACAAAAGCTTGACGCAGAAAAGTGAAAAACAAGATTTGCCGCGGGCCAAGTGGAGATTTGAATGCGCGCCGGCAGAGGAATTCCGACTTCCTGCCTTTACATATCGAATTTGGCTTGATTCACATTTTTTGGTTCAATAATGGAAGCATCCATCGTGAAATATCATTAAAATTGAGAGACTGAAGCGAAAAAAATAGATTATTTGTGAGCGCTTTTCTTGGCTATAGCAAATGCAGGAAAAAATTTAACCAAAATTTGGTTCCGAAAACGAACAAAACAAAATCGGACGTTTATAGAAGAATAATCTTGATTGAGGATTGATTTAGATTTTGTTTGAAATTTTCTCTGGCTGGGTTCTTTTGACTCACAAAAAATAGAAAGTAGAAGGCCGAATTTGCACAGTGGAGAATAATTTGATCAAATTCTAAACAAAATTCACTGCGGCTGCTTTTAAATTAAAATTCGAAAGCCAAAATTAAAAATAGTCCGTTGATTCCCTTAATATTCAAATTACTATAAAATAAACGCACATTGTTCTCGGGTTTTTTTAAATATTAAAAAATTTGAAATAGTTTTCTTTCCGACGAAGCATTTCAACTTTGCTTTTCGTTATTTAAAAGTGCTACTGACTTAATTAGCATAATCATCTAAGCTAAAAAGCGCGGAGAAAACACATAGACCAAAATCTGTGCGTATGGTCGAATAAAATTTAAAATGATCTCTCATGGACGGGCGTTACAAGCAAGTTCGTGTCTTGCTACGATTTAATAAATTAGTCCATCAATCTGTCAAAATTTCAAAGCAAAAGTTTCGGAACAAAATTCAAACGGCGACTGACTTGAAGATTGTTGTGAGAGCAGAGAAAAAAAGACAAACTTACGATTTTGCGAATTGCCGGGGTCCATTGCGAGTCAGGAGGAATTGCACGAGTCGAAAGAATCACGGTTTGAATCCGATTGCGGGAATGAAGCAGCTCAAATTAATGAGTAAAACGAGAGAAAATATCCAACGACACTGACGTGTTGAGGTCTATGGCTCAAGTGAGTGGAGTGGAGGTGAAGAGGAGAGGAAGGCTGCTTGACAGGGGGCTGCGTTCACCCCTCCCCCACCCTGCCAGGCCCCTCCCTTCTTATTGTTAGCGCGCCAACAATCACATCGCTCAGCAGCGACTGTAAACTGCAGAGAACTTGATTAAAATTTGCAAAAGATTTCTGTAAAAATAGGCCCACAACATGTTAAATTAAAATCCAAATTTTCTATTTCATTAAAAACCATGGCTTCATTTAAAATTTTTGTTAATTAAAAATTTGTCAGCCAAACAAAATTTTCACAGCGTATTTAATAATATGGCTATTTTTATTTGAAAAAAAAACCGTCTCCTAGCTTGTCAGATATCAAAATTTTCAAATGGCTAGAAAAATGTGGCCTATATGCAAAGTTCTCAGAATTTACCAAAACCGTTTGATTCGAGGCAGGCTCCACTCACATTAATATAAGAGGATTTGTTTCTAAAACTCGCTTTTAAACTTCATTTAATAAACTTTTCTTTTAGTGGCTTGCGCAGTTTTATTACTCATGACAAAAAGAATTAAATCCACGTGAAAAACTCCTCTAAATTTTTAACATCTAAAAATAAACTAGGCCACAATTTTAAAGATTAATTAAATGCATACCTTTATGACGAGGGCCAAAGCAACGAATGTGTCAGGCAGGCGAACTGGAAAAGCAGATTTTCCCGGGAGCAGAAAAATTGCGAGGCCAAGAAGCAGCGCCGCCGCCAACATTCACTTGGCCTCCTTTTGTGGCCCGGTAGCTTTTGAGACAAAGATAATTGGGCCTGCACAAACCCCACATTCTTTCCAAACGCATCATTTGACTGAAAATTCACACAATTTTTGGTCAAAAATTTGAAAAATAATAAAAATACATACTTGGAAAACTTACTCTTTCTGGTGCTGCAAATTAATTAATCAGCAAAGGCAAATATGACTTTGACTGAAATTTTATTCAAAGAACAGATGACAAATCCAACAATGTACTCTAACCAACAATGCAAAACACAATGAAAAAATTAACAAGCAACTAAAAAAACTCGGGTTTCAATTTTTGTCAAAGACAGAAAGACAAGAAAATAATAGAGAATAGAAAAAATTAGATGATTAATCGTAAGTTAAAAACCAAAGAAAATTGGGCCAGTGGTCATAATAATATTGCAAAAATACAAAGGAGTTGTAATTTGAATTATTTGGTTTGTAATTCTTGCAGCATTTTAAATAGTTAATTAAGATGTTTGAGAAACACTTTATCTGCAGCTTCAAGTCATGACATAAATTTAAAAAAATGATCTTGCCTAGAAGATGATTATTTTTATCAAATTCACAGAAATAATACTTTGCGCTTACAGTAGAAAATTTATTGAATGAGATCATCTTGAATTTTTTTCAAATGATATTAACTTTTTTGTAAGCGGAACTTAAGATGAACAAGCAAAATAATTGAAGTTAAAAGCATAATGGCGCTCTTTTAACATTTTCATCCCACTAGTTTATTGCCAAAAACGAATTATTGTTTTTAATACTTCTAAGTTTTTATTTATGATTTCCTGTATGTTACAAAAATAGTGTTTGCACGGCATCGTAAAATTTTCGCCTCAATCTATTTAGTCCATTATTGTTGCGTTTGTTGTTCTTTGTCACAAAATGTGAGTTTTAGAACAATTTAAGTTACTTTACCATTTGCTGTTGTGACTAAATTCAACATCAACATAAATTAGAATTATCAAGGTGATGAAATTTTACAAGAAAATCAAGTATCAACTCTTCAAAATTAATAAATTTAATAAAAAAAAAAATGATTCCTGTAAATTTTTAACTTTTAAGATTGATTGTTCCAAGTAAACAAAATTTCTTGGAAATTTACCACAAAATGACTTTTTTTTTCAAGAAGTCTAACAATTTGTAAGGAATTAAAAATTTGGGCATCTCCTTTCTTTAGGTATAGTTGCCAAAAACTATACCAATTAACTTGGCAAGAAATTTGTCTCCATAAAATTTAAATAAGCCACGCGCAATAATTTCAGAGGACGCATAAATGTTTTAGATGAAGATGAGGATTTTGTCCTGTTAATTACTTCCTGAATGACCCATCAGAATTCTCGTTGAGTAGGAAGCAGCCGCAGTGTCTGCTCGGCAACCAGCGGCAAAAATTGGCTTCTTAATTCTCATGTGCTTTAATATTTTAACTATTTGGCCATCTCAAACAAGCAGCTCGATCCTTCCTCCTTCACCAGGTCAGCTGCACTGTTGCTACGGTGGCCACCTGGATCCTACCATGGGATCTGTAAATTAGCTTTTCAAAAAAACTGTTTCCATTTTTCACTTATTTGCCTGCAGGGCGAGACGAGTTTGTAGATCTGGAGGATGGTCTCGACCACGGTCACCGTCTTGCCAGTGCCGGGTGGGCCGAAAATGGTGCGTGCGGCATAGGGCGAGCTTTTTGCCCAGTCGCTGCGGCTCTTTGCGAAGGGTTGAACCAGCCCCAATTCCTCTTTGATTTTGATGATAATTTTTAAAAGCTAAAATTTATAAAAAAAAAACCTTTCGCAAGGAGGTTTGGCTAGCGGCGGCGCTGGTCAGCCCTGCTGGGCGGGCCATCGCACGTCGCACGTGGACAACAACAACGACGCAGCACATCTCCAAGGCCGTCCAGCGATGGCCCTTTTCGGCGACGCAGTACTCGGCGGCTTCCATGAAGTCCTCCTGAAAAAATTGATAATAATTATTAATCACAAGTTTTGCCAACTTCTCTGACAATTATTGCCTACAAGAATAAAACTTTTATAAAAGATGTGTTAGTGCGCACGAATGCAAATTCCAATATTGTTCGGTCAGTGGCGGATTTTCACAATGTGTGGCCCCACAAAAGCCAATAGAAATTGGCATAAATTAAAAAAATGTTCTTAATCTGTGACCTTTTAAGCTCTAATTTTAACTTTCTACAATGCTGTCGTCAGTGAAGTAAACAGTGAGCAATAAAAAAAGTATTTTCTTTTGTTATTGGAAGAACTGCCATGGAACATCCATGAAGTCTGGCGCCAATGATGCATTGACATAAAAAAAACTCAGCCGCTAAAGCTAAATGCTGAAGAAGGGCTTTGATGCAGAGATTGGAAGTACAATTAATTAACATAATCAATATTTAACCATTAAAATAAAAAAAAACTTATGGCATTTAAAGTATCACGTCACACGTGCAATTAATTATAATGCGACAATGCGGAGATCAGCGGAGATGTTGCAATTATGGATTTATTGTGTTTTTTTTTCACCAGAGGAAAGGATGCAGCTATATAAGAAGTCGATCAGAATCGAAACATAAAAAAGGTTTGCAAATCTTATTAGTACATCCAAATTAATTGTGTCTAAGGTGTTGCACTCTGGTCACTTGATTGAAATAAAAACTAATTGTTTTATACTGTTCGAAGATTTAGAAGATTTCCCAACTGCATTTGCCTGGTTGTAGGAAATCAGTTACTGCAGACACAACTTACTGATTACCAAAAGAACTATTAAATTTGATCATATAAATTTAAAAAATAATACATTTTCAAGAATTTTCAATTTGAAGTAATAATAAAATTAATAACGATAGATTTATGCATCGTATGACTAAATTTTTATTAATCAAGTTCTATGAAGTCTTAAAATGTTAAAATAAAGTAATAAAGAAATCAATTGAACGGTAACACTCGAGGTGGATTTCATGAAAGATTGAAACCGGGCGAACCTCTTTGCAAAGAAAAAATGAAAATTTTTTCCATTTTTTGTTTCATCATTTTTTCATTTTTTCTTTGCAACGAGGTTCGCCCGGTTTCAATCTTTCAATAAAGAAATCGTAAAGGACGGGTACTTAAACACACTAATTAAATATTCAAACAACTCATAAATTGATAAATATTAAATATATAACTCACAATTTCTGCACAAAAGATAACTTTTTTTAATAATTTATGAGGAATTTTTTTTTTGAAACTTGTGCATTCTAGCTGACTTTCCATTGAGAGTGTTCTTTGGCTTGCGTCTGTCTATATAGAAGGCAAAAGTGCTTGAAATTTCAATCCTTTTTTGTTTTCTTTTCGCATACATTACCCCGGAATTTTTTCACAGACCCCCGCAATAACAATAACGTATAAACTTTATCACATAAGAATATAATTTGATGGGTGCGTCGTTTGGAGGGTGCATGTGAGGCGCAGGTGTTTTGTTTTTGGCCAGAAACGGGGAGCACCAGCGTTTATAACATTATGTATGTTAATTTTGCCCAGCCAACTTAAACAAGAAGGGTGCAAAGCGCTACATCAAATAAAAAAACGTAATTCAAAGACCAAGCATGATAAATCATCAAGTTATGCCAAGAGTTAAATCCACCTGGAGTGGGAAACGAACCCACTATCTCCGGCGCCGTTTCTTGTGCTGCAATCTATGCAAACCTCCGTTAAAATATGTTGAGGAAAAATAAAAAGTGGTTAAATATTTGGAAAAAATAATGAAAACATTTTTCTTAAAAAATTTTTACCCTACCATAAAAACGCTTGTTTATCACACGCCTAAAAATTTACAAGTGACTCTTTCAATTCCCACAGCCTTTGATTTAATGAGAAAAAGTGCTCTAGCCTCCGGACACTGAAACTGTTTCACTTTTTTTAAGTGCATGTTTGTCCTTGGTGCGTTAAAGTGTCCCTCCTGCGAGCCTCTAGCAAAAATTGCAACATTGATTCCATCAATCTCTCGCTCGAAATAGAATGAGATCGTTGGCCGCGAATTCGCAGGGTATTGAAATGCCCTGATAAAAATCTGCTAAATGCGCGCTCGTGAGTGTGGTTTGAAGAAGAAGAAGCGACGCCCTTCCAATGTAATTATAATATCGCAGACGGTGTCGCCAGAGACCAGTGGCAAATCTCGCGAGAGACAGAACGACATTTTTTTGCTATTTTTTGCGAATTATTTTATTCGTGAGATGGGTTTAAGTTAAACTGTTTGTCGGGAAAGCTTTTTTTAAATTTAAAATAAATCTTTGCAAATTGCGTAGCTCTTATTTAAAAATTTAGCAAATTACTCCTTTTAGGACGAAAGTTCACCTTTTTCCAAAGCCCATAGAGGCATGCATATCGAAATTAATTATCTTAACCTACCCAGGAAATACAGACTGAATCAATTTTAAACCAGAGATGAAGTGCACATTTATTAAATTTGTATTTGATAGAAATTTTTTTTAAATATATATAGTGTAATTGTTAATAAATTTAAACTTTTTCTTTTAATTATATATGTTTGATTAAATTAAAATTATATAAAAATTACTTGAGTACAATTTTAATGACTTTTAATATTAAAAAAGGAATTTATTATGAATACACCAAGGCAATTTGTAGTATAAATTTGTGGTCAAGTTCAATGAGTTCCATTTAGAATACACTAAAAAAATGCCGCTGCAAGTCCTTAGGTGGATAAATTATAAGTAATTTATCAGAAAAAAACTCATAATCGACAAACGAAATCACCAGCACGAGAAGCGTTGAAATTGAAGTAAATCCTTTGCAGTATCGCCCGGGATTAAAATATTATGACGTACTCTCTGTGCTAAAACCCACAAATGCGTTTTTAAAATTTGGTTTAAATAAAAATCACATAAATCTATGTTTAGAATTTCATATAAAATAAAATAATTGTTGATACTTTACAATATTAAGTAAATTTCCGTTGAATTGTATATCATTCATTGTTCTAGTAAAAGGCAGGAATGTTTTCCAGATCATGATTTGTGTAACTCAATCCACGTTATTTTTACAACAAGAAATTGTAAATTTTTTTGCAATTTAGAGATTTAACGCAGCAAATATCATTTAAAATGATATTTATATTTTGCAGATGAGTAATTTGCTTCCAACAAATATTATGTGATTTAGTATAGTTTCCTTTTTTTCCCTAAACAATTTGCTCAAATCTTAAGTACCAAAATTATGATCACAATTAGAGCAGAATTAAGAAGCAAGAACAAAATTTCATGAGCAGTGCATGTTAATCAATTCAATTTTCAAGTTGGGGAAGATAAAACAATAGTTTCATGTAAATTACTTAAAAATCCTACATTAGGCTTTTAAATTTTGAAGGTTTTGTTCAATTATTTGCTGCAAAAGTTTCAATTGTCACCAAAACAGCAAAAATTCAGTCTTTTTAAACACTAAAGAATGTCAAACTTTTAATATTCAAGTTAATATTCAAAGTTTTGGTTGGACTTTCGAAGGAAAAAAAACTTCGTCAACACGAGCTTACGAGTCTCGGTTAAAGTTTGCACTCAATCAGGTTGTGCTCGTAAACGAAATTAGCAGTAAAACTTGAGAGCTTTGTATTCTGAAAAAGGCCAAAGCGAATTTGGCAACGCGGGGAATGCGTGACAATCACGGGGGCGACGTTTGCGTCTGATCTCGGAGGTACTCACCGGTGCGGGGGAGCGGCCATGAGGCCGAAGTCGTGGCGGCCGCAGGTGGACGCGCGTATTATGTTGGCAGGGGCAGCAGGTCGGAGCGTGCGGCCGGCCGAGTCACTTGGAGGCGAATGACGAGGGCGCCGAGGCAGCACCATGCGCTCGATTCCTGCATTGATCGCGGCGCCGAGGCTCGCGGGCCACGCTCGGCCACGCCTCCAACCAGTTCAAACTCGCGCCGCACCGACCAGGCGAGTCTCTTCTTGCATTCTTGTACACCAACACTAGACCAGCACGGCCAAAGGAGAGAAATTTCTTGTTTACACTTGTTTTTTTCTGATCTCTCTGAAATTGTGCTCCTGCAAATGCGGTGCTTACTCTTGTGTAAAAGTCATGATAGACTGAACAAGGACCACTTTTTGTCCCATAAAAGATGAATTTGTACTATAATTATGTTTTAAGTTAGTGGGCAAAGTCGTTTTTAAACAAGGTTTTATAGCCATTGTAGCAAACTCTGTCCTATGACATAAAATCAAGCTCTATTTTTATATCTAAAGAGTAAAATTTATTGCTGGTAAATTCTGGCCATATTGCAAACACATGGTATTATTGAAATGTTGACGTCTCAGTCAAAGTATAGCTCGTACTGCTTTAAAATCTAGAAAAAAAGCTTTAAAATAGTGTGAAAGAACAGCCTTGACTCTTAATTTTACGGCACAATTGCTGAGTTTGTGCTCCGCTCGTATTAAGCACCAAACATGGTATTATATAAATGTTGACGTCTCAAAGTATAGCTCGTACTGCTTTAAAATCTAGAAAAAATGCTTTACAATAGTGTGAAAGAACAGCCTTGACTCTTAATTTTACGGCACAATTGCTGAGTTTGTGCTCCGCTCGTATTAAGCACCAAACATGGTATTATATAAATGTTGACGTCTCAGTCAAAGTATAGCTCGTACTGCTTTAAAATCTAGAAAAAATGCTTTAAAATAGTGTGAAAGAAAAGCCTTGACTCTTAATTTTACGGCACAATTGCTGAGTTTGTGCTCCGCTCGTATTAAGCACCAAACATGGTATTATTGAAATGTTGACGTCTCAGTCAAAGTATAGCTCGTACTGCTTTAAAATCTAGAAAAAATGCTTTAAAATAGTGTGAAAGAAAAGCCTTGACTCTTAATTTTACGGCACAATTGCTGAGTTTGTGCTCCGCTCGTATTAAGCACCAAACATGGTATTATATAAATGTTGACGTCTCAGTCAAAGTATAGCTCGTACTGCTTTAAAATCTAGAAAAAAAGCTTTAAATAGTTTGAAAGAACAGCCTTGACTCTTAATTTTACGGCACAATTGCTGAGTTTGTGCTCCGCTCGTATTAAGCACCAAACATGGTATTATTGAAATGTTGACGTCTCAGTCAAAGAATAGCTCGTACTGCTTTTAAATCTGGAAAAAACCTTTAAAATAGTATGAAAGAACAGCCTTGACTCTTAATTTTACGGCACAATTGCTGAGTTTGTGCTCCGCTCGTATTAAGAACCAAACATGGTATTATATAAATGTTGACGTCTCAGTCAAAGTATAGCTCGTACTGCTTTAAAATCTAGAAAAAAAGCTTTAAAATAGTGTGAAAGAACAGCCTTGACTCTTAATTTTACGGCACAATTGCCGAGTTTGTGCTCCGCTCGTATTAAGCACCAAACATGGTATTATTGAAATGTTGAGGTCTCAGTCAAAGTATAGCTCGTACTGCTTTTAAATCTGGAAAAAACCTTTAAAATAGTATGAAAGAACAGCCTTGACTCTTAATTTTACGGCACAAATGCTGAGTTTGTGCTCCGCTCGTATTAAGCACCAAACATGGTATTATTGAAATGTTGACGTCTCAGTCAAAGTATAGCTCGTACTGCTTTAAAATCTAGAAAAAAAGCTTTAAAATAGTGTGAAAGAACAGCCTTGACTCTTAATTTTACGGCACAATTGCTGAGTTTGTGCTCCGCTCGTATTAAGCACCAAACATGGTATTATTGAAATGTTGACGTCTCAGTCAAAGTATAGCTCGTACTGCTTTTAAATCTGGAAAAAACCTTTAAAATAGTATGAAAGAACAGCCTTGACTCTTAATTTTACGGCACAAATGCTGAGTTTGTGCTCCGCTCGTATTAAGCACCAAACATGGTATTATTGAAATGTTGACGTCTCAGTCAAAGTATAGCTCGTACTGCTTTAAAATCTAGAAAAAAAGCTTTAAAATAGTGTGAAAGAAAAGCCTTGACTCTTAATTTTACGGCACAATTGCTGAGTTTGTGCTCCGCTCGTATTAAGCACCAAACATGGTATTATATAAATGTTGACGTCTCAGTCAAAGTATAGCTCGTACTGCTTTAAAATCTAGAAAAAAAGCTTTAAATAGTTTGAAAGAACAGCCTTGACTCTTAATTTTACGGCACAATTGCTGAGTTTGTGCTCCGCTCGTATTAAGCACCAAACATGGTATTATTGAAATGTTGACGTCTCAGTCAAAGAATAGCTCGTACTGCTTTTAAATCTGGAAAAAACCTTTAAAATAGTATGAAAGAACAGCCTTGACTCTTAATTTTACGGCACAATTGCTGAGTTTGTGCTCCGCTCGTATTAAGAACCAAACATGGTATTATATAAATGTTGACGTCTCAGTCAAAGTATAGCTCGTACTGCTTTAAAATCTAGAAAAAAAGCTTTAAAATAGTGTGAAAGAACAGCCTTGACTCTTAATTTTACGGCACAATTGCCGAGTTTGTGCTCCGCTCGTATTAAGCACCAAACATGGTATTATTGAAATGTTGAGGTCTCAGTCAAAGTATAGCTCGTACTGCTTTTAAATCTGGAAAAAACCTTTAAAATAGTATGAAAGAACAGCCTTGACTCTTAATTTTACGGCACAATTGCTGAGTTTGTGCTCCGCTCGTATTAAGCACCAAACATGGTATTATTGAAATGTTGACGTCTCAGTCAAAGTATAGCTCGTACTGCTTTTAAATCTGGAAAAAACCTTTAAAATAGTATGAAAGAACAGCCTTGACTCTTAATTTTACGGCACAAATGCTGAGTTTGTGCTCCGCTCGTATTAAGCACCAAACATGGTATTATTGAAATGTTGACGTCTCAGTCAAAGTATAGCTCGTACTGCTTTAAAATCTAGAAAAAAAGCTTTAAAATAGTGTGAAAGAAAAGCCTTGACTCTTAATTTTACGGCACAATTGCTGAGTTTGTGCTCCGCTCGTATTAAGCACCAAACATGGTATTATTGAAATGTTGACGTCTCAATCAAAGTATAGCTCGTACTGCTTTAAAATCAAGAAAAAAAAGCTTTGCAATAGTGTGAAAGAACAGCCTTGACTCTTAATTTTACGGCACATTTGAAAGTTTTTTGCTCCGCTCGTATTAAGCATCAAACATGGTATTATTGAAATGTTGAGGTCTCAGTCAAAGTATAGCTCGTACTGCTTTAAAATCTAGAAAAAATGCTTTAAAATAGTGTGAAAGAACAGCCTGGACTATTAATTTTACGGCACAATTGAAAGTTTTATGCTCCGCTCGTATTAAGCACCAAACATGGTATTATTGAAATGTTGAGGTCTCAGTCAAAGTATAGCTCGTACTGCTTTTAAATCTAGAAAAAATGCTTTAAAATAGTGTGAAAGAACAGCCTTGACTCTTAATTTTACGGCACAATTGCTGAGTTTGTGCTCCGCTCGTATTAAGCACCAAACATGGTATTATATAAATGTTGAGCTCTCAGTCAAAGTGTAGCTCGTACTGCTTTAAAATCTAGAAAAAATGCTTTAAAATAGTGTGAAAGAAAAGCCTTGACTCTTAATTTTACGGCACAATTGCTGAGTTTGTGCTCCGCTCGTATTAAGCACCAAACATGGTATTATATAAATGTTGACGTCTCAGTCAAAGTATAGCTCGTACTGCTTTAAAATCTAGAAAAAATGCTTTAAAATAGTGTGAAAGAAAAGCCTTGACTCTTAATTTTACGGCACAATTGCTGAGTTTGTGCTCCACTCGTATTAAGCACCAAACATGGTAGTATTGAAATGTTGAGGTCTCAGTCAAAGTATAGCTCGTACTGCTCTAAAATCAAGAAAAAAAGCTTTAAAATAGTGTGAAAGAACAGCCTGGACTCTTAATTTTACGGCATAATTGAAAGTTTTTAGCTCCGCTCGTATATTAAGCACCACACATGGTATTATATAAATGTTGACGTCTCAGTCAAAGTATAGCTCGTACTGCTTTAAAATCTAGAAAAAAAGCTTTAAAATAGTGTGAAAGAACAGCCTTGACTCTTAATTTTACGGCACAATTGCTGAGTTTGTGCTCCGCTCGTATTAAGCACCAAACATGGTATTATTGAAATGTTGACGTCTCAGTCAAAGTATAGCTCGTACTGCTTTAAAATCTAGAAAAAATGCTTTAAAATAGTTTGAAAGAACAGCCTTGACTCTCAATTTTACGGCACAATTGAAAGTTTTTAGCTCCGCTCGTATTTAAGTATCAAACATGGTATTATTGAAATGTTGAGGTCTCAGTCAAAGTATAGCTCGTACTGCTCTAAAATCAAGAAAAAAAGCTTTAAAATAGTGTGAAAGAACAGCCTGGACTCTTAATTTTACGGCACAATTGAAAGTTTTTTGCTCCGCTCGTATTAAGCACCAAACATGGTATTATTTAAATGTTGACGTCTCAATCAAAGTATAGCTCGTACTGCTTTAAAATCAAGAAAAAAAAGCTTTGCAATAGTGTGAAAGAACAGCCTTGACTCTTAATTTTACGGCACATTTGAAAGTTTTTTGCTCCGCTCGTATTAAGCATCAAACATGGTATTATTGAAATGTTGAGGTCTCAGTCAAAATATAGCTCGTACTGCTTTAAAATCTAGAAAAAAAGCTTTAAAATGGTGTGAAAGAACAGCCTGGACTCTTAATTTTACGGCACAATTGAAAGTTTTTTTGCTCCGCTCGTATTAAGCACCAAACATGGTATTATTGTAATGTTGAGGTCTCAGTCAAAGTATAGCTCGTACTGCTTTAAAATCTAGAAAAAAAGCTTTGCAATAGTTAGAAAGAACAGCCTTGACTCTTAATTTTACGGCACAATTGAAAGTTTTTTCTCCGCTCATATTAA